ATTTTTTTTGACAGCTGTATAAACATAGAAGAGTTCGTTATTTAATTCCACAATTTATGTAAATACATTACTCTTGTCTTCAAAACAAACAAAAAGGTCGAAATTTTAAAAAACTTCAAAAACAATAGAAAAAGAAAATCTGAACTCAGAAGAACAACTAATCTTATTTTAAATTAAAAAAAAAATCAAACACTGAACAAGTTTTGAATTTTTCTCTGCTTGGATTCATTTCAAATACAGTCGAGCAATATTATATTGCTTTTTGATAATGGTGATAAAGGGAATGAGTCTAGTTTCTCTTGTCTGCAACAGTAAACCAAGCTCCTCAAGAAATTTTGCATCCATCTATAACTCCTAATTTGACCATGTGGGGTTTTATATCAAAATATGCTCACACTTTATAGCAAAAGAAATTTCATTTATTGAAAGAAATCTTCTAAACAAGCTGTTCAGTATTCCCAACGTTGTTGCTCCCAGCTAGATTAGTAGTACTTTCGATGGTATTTTTTTCTTCTACAGAAATTCCTTTATTAGAAAACTCTTTGTTAACATCAGCTAATTCAATTTTATTGCTTTCTCAATCAAAAAGCTTGCCACATTTATTGACTGGTTCTAGAGAGTTATCTTGTTTTTTTGCGCTGAAAGCCCTTTGGTGGAATAATAAGCTTCAGCAAATCCTTTAACTGGTTTGGGCTTTTTGATTTCATTAATTTTGCTCTGAATTTCTTAAAATCTTCCTCAACTCTTCCCCAACTCTTAACACTTATAACTCAACTCTTCCCCAAGCTCAATCAATTTACTTAGTATCAATTTCTTTGATATTAAGTAGCCCTCACTTTCATCAAGAGCACTAGTAAACCAAAGTACTTTGTAGCGTGATGGGATATCAATTTCAAGATTTGCTAAACTTTCAACAAGCAACCTCATCATATCATTATGGGTAGGTTAAAGAATGTTTATTGGATCAGCAGTCAACTGGTTGATCATAAGTCTCTGCTCAAGCTTGCTTCTTTTTCATTGGAGCAAGAATAATTGTGTCATTTATTTGGATATCCCCTGAAATACCGCTACCAATGCCAACATACCTTTCTTTAGCAATGCTTCTTGTACCTCTGGCATGATGTGAACAATATAGTCATTCAGAGCATAAATACAGTAGCTCTTAATAGTAAAAAAATGGTGTCAAATTGGTCGATATTGTTCCTAATGTCTGTTTAAGGCAATAAGATTCCTTTGGAGCCCAATTGCATTTTATTCCTTCAGATGGATTCAGTTTAACTCGAGTGACTTTACCTTTAAACACAAACTCTGGTTTAACAACAGCACACAAATCACTAGACACCTGAGTAAAGCAGTGATCCTTTTGCACAAGAGTAAATAGTTCTACTTAACATATGTGTCATAACCTGTAATGTTAAGGGTCTTTTGTGAGACACTCTAATTACAGTGGAGGGGCATTTGATTGCCATTTATTATCGGAGGATCAACAAAAAAATTATCAATAAAAATTTTTCTAACAGTCCATACATTTTTTATGTACTTGTAAATGCGCTCTTTCCTGTCTTCTTGTTTAATTTGAAACTGCTTGTTTGGTTTTCTTTAAATTACTTTGTAATCTTGAACCAAATCATTAATCTATTTATCCGAAAACACGAGGTTGAGTTGCTGTACATCTTTTGGTTGTTAATCACTGATTGTAAAAAAAACTTGACTTGGATACTGAGTGTGGTAAACAAGCTTTCAATGTCTGGGGAATATCAATGAACCAATCGTAAAGAAATTCTCATAAAGTTGGCGCAGCAACCTTTCTTACACCACCCGGTTGATGGTATTTGAAATTTGCTGCTGCTACTGCAGTATTATTTTCATTGGTGGATACTTCGGTATATGAGTGTTTTCTTAATTTCAAGCCTTTAACAAGAAAAGAATCATTGTGTTTTACGCCTTAAAGATCTGGATAATATTCACAAACAGCACATGCAACACAGTCTTTCACAAACATGCAACATAGTCTTCTTTAGGTAATTTTTGCGCATGTTTTTTCCCATTATCATTCCAGTTTACTGAGTTTTTAAATTTTTTACACCTCGCATTGTATTCAACTTGCATAACTTTCAGATTTCTTCTTTTCCAGCTAAAAAATACTTATCTTTTTCTATAGGATCAAACTTTCTTGAAATCTTAAACAGCAAATGAAATTAACACTAACATTTAGTTTTAGAGAAACACTTTAGAAAGTTTCACACTTTATAGCAAAAGAAATTTCATTTATTGAAAGAAATCTTCTAAACAAATACGCTTTTCCAATCTTAAAACGAAAAGGAGTTTTTTAGTTGGTTTTTATTATTTGCATCTATGATAAAGAGACTTACTTTTGAGTAAAGAAAAAAATTATTTCTCAAAGTAAAAAAATAATAAACTCTGCCACACACACACACACCCCTAACCCTTATTTATTTAGCAGGAAAATATATTTTAAGAAGTTAACTAATTTGAAAATAAAAACTATAATCCTGTGTCTTTAAAGTTTTAAAAATTTTGTAAAATAATGTTCAATATTAATAATTAATAACTAAAATTTATAATCAAAGTCTTAAATTATTACAAAGTGATTTATCATGTTTTTAAAAATTTATAACAATACTTCAAATTATTTTCAAAAAGTTTTTTTTAATTACAGTTTAAAAAATAATTTAAAACAGTAAACCTATATGTATTGATTTTAGTTTAGATATGAAAATAATATTTTTTATAATTAAAAATGTCAATTGAAAGTGGGAGAAAGAAAGCTGGAGAATGGAATCAAGTAACTGAAGTTAAAAACAGTACAAAGATTTTTTGCCACAATTGTCATGTTTTGATTAGCAACAAGATAGAATGAGTAAATCCCTATTTAAAAGATGGCCAAAAAAAGTTTTTACACAAGCATACAGAAAGGGACAATCTAAATTTGTCAAAATATTCAAATAAAAATTGTGATAATGTACTTCAAATAAAAAAACAGCGAAGTATTGTACCAAACTCCTTTGTAAAATCACAAAGAAGTATTCGCTGTGGTAACAGATAATGAAAATAAGATGAATAAAATAAGGGATTTAATCAAATAAATGTATTTAAATCTTTTAACATATAGGTGTTCTGCACATTATTTAAATCTTTTGGAAAGAGAAGTAACACACTGAGATGTCATCAAACACATGGTTGAAGTGCAGAAATATTTTCACAATACACATCAACCACAAGTAAACCACATGTATTTTGTATTAGCGGATTATAAACTTTAAGTAAAAATAAAATATATAAAATAAATTTATATAAAAGTTTAAGATTAACTATTCAATTTTTATTTTGAGGGATGGTTGTCTAAAAACGGAGGGCATATGCCTCAGTTACCAAGCTACCTGATGAAACACCCAAATTGACTGTATAGAAACATACATAAAAAACTAACAAAATTATATTATGTAGGAATATTATATAATGATGATATACATATCAAAATCAGTAAAATAATTAAAAATCGAGCAATATTTAGAGAAGCTAACAGACTTCAAACCCCACTCAAAATATTTGATGTTGTTTTAGATCATGTATTTAATTTTTTTTAATTAAAGTTTTTGTTACATAATAAGACTTTGTAGGTGTAAAGAAAAAGTAATAAAAATAAAAATGTTAATTTGATTAAATAAATAAAAATAAATTTCTTCTAAATGCAAAGTGACAACTGTCACCTATTAGAATGTGTCGAGTTATGACTCTCATCTCTGAACAACTATAAACTAAGTCATTACCACACAGCTATCAAGAAGAAATGTAATGATGCTATTACACCTATCCATTATTTTGCGTACATGACCAATCCACGCTTTTTGGGTAAAAATAAGTTTTGCATTAAAAATCAAAAAAATTTATTTTTACAATTATATGCTAATTGAAATTTAATTTTTTTTTCTTAGGCAAAAACCTCCTGATTGAAAATGAAGATGAGGCTGAAGAATTTACAATCAATATCCTGATTTTGTACCTGGGTTGATATTGCTTACATTAAAGGATTGTGATGCATATCATAAAAGGATGTTGAGCAATCAAATTATATCAACAATATTGTGGAGTAATGAGAAATCAGTTCAAAAAAAATTCCCTGAAGTTTTGAAAATTAATTTCTAAACTTCAAACATGCCTGGCTAGGTCAGGGTCAATAGAAAGAATATTTTCCTTGTTTGGTTTTATCTGGTCAAAAGTTAGAAATCAATTAGAAAGTGAAAAGACTAAAAAGCTAGTGCAAATATATAGACAGTAATTAAAAATAGATTGCTTTTGTAAAAAGTGTAAAATATCAAAAATATAATTAGTCTTGTCAAAGAGTTTTTATTCTAAAAAATCTTATTAAATGAATCTAATTTGTTTGGTTTCCAAAATAAAATTGTTTTAAACAAAAATAATATTGCATTTGAATTGAAAACTTCCCTTTATAGCTCGCTCTATAATGTTTATGTTTTCAGAAATTTTGGCTAATAATAGTTATATTAATAATATAATAGTTCTTAAAGTTATAAAATATCTCAAAAAACCCAGATTGCCTGAGTTTTATTAGGTTTTTTAGGCTGGTTTTATTGAATTTTATTGGGCAGGTTTTTTTAATGCCAACCCTGGCATCAAGTAGATAAAAGAAAAGCTAAATAAATTATAAAGGTGGAACTAGTGATCTAATTAAGTTCCATCTTAAGCAATTAAGTAAGTTCCATCTCAAGCAATTAAGTAAGTTCCATCTCAAGCAATTAAGTAAGTTCCATCTCAAGCAATTAAGTAAGTTCCATCTCAAGCAAAAACTTTTAACTTAAAACTATAATTACTATGTAAAAGACTGAATACAAGATACAATCCAATCTAGATTTCAAAACAAGGATCAATATAACTGACAGAACAATTAATTTCATTACTTCACTTTTTGTTAAAGAATTAAATAGATAAAAACTAATATTAAAAAATAAAAACCTTACCTAAACCAAATTCTACAACATCTTTTCCTACAACAAAATTGCACGGTTTTCCCGGTATTGAACAAGAAGACAAACTCACACTTATTGTTCCTTTACATAATAAAAAAATCTGTACAATAAAAAGCAAGTTATATATATTAAAATGCTAAAACTATTTTTAAAAATAAAATTTATCATACCCATTGCAAGAATTGAATCCTGTAAAAATTTATGTATTTCATCAATAGTTTTTCCTTCTTCAGCCATTGCGCCAGCAATCTAAAAAATTTGTTTCAAAAATTTATTTTTTATTCATTTTATCCGATGATTTAAAAATCATTATATATATATATATATATATATATATATATATATATATATATATATATATATATATATATATATATATATATATATATATATATATATATAACACATTTTTTTCTTAATAATATTTTCATTTCTTTTGATCTCAGTAAGTTTAAAACACTAATTATAGATAATAATTTGATTTTCAAATTTTTTAAAATTCGTTTCAAAAACAACTTCATTCGTGTTAAATTTAATGCAATAATTTTTACACTATAAAAATATCAAAAACAGTTGACTTCTGATATTTTCAGAGCACATAAGTATTGCCTAAAAATTAACAAATGTACTGGTATTTAAGAAAAAAGTCACAATCGTGATAAAAAATTAAGTATTTTAAACATTGATACCAGGAGTATGGTAATTTGCATAAATTTGCATAAATTACAATATCATTATACCTTAAAACTTATGATTTAAAAAATCTTCAATTAAATATCAGAAATTTTTAAATGATAAAAAATTTATGAAATATTTGCCCTTATAAATGTTTTGACAGCAACTTTAAAGAAAAGCCAGTTTGCTTAAAGAATGGGCCACTCATAATTGTAAAACTGTGTACTTAATTACATGATGATTTAAAAGACATATTTACGACTTTACTAACTTTACTATAAATACTGTTTATCACACATACTGCTTTACCACACATACTGCTTTACCACACATACTGCTTGCCATACAAGTACTTTTATTTTAATTTTTCTCAAAGAGTCATGGATTTTCATCCTTTTGACAAAATGTTCTGAAACCATGTACAGTTAAGCTTTTTTCTTGTTCAACAAGGAAAGAGCTTGACAGTACCTTAGTGATCAATAAAGAAACAAAAAACATTTTTAGCTACTTTTTTTTTATTAACAAATCCCTTTTGTTTTGCAATCCTTTTTTTCTATCAATAGTTAAAGCTTTTTATATCTCTCTCTATAACGTGATAAACAGTTGATAAGTAGACTTCAGTTTTGGCTTTAAATTTTTTGTGATGTATTTTGAATCTTATTACACAAATGCATACAATTATTTCTAGCTTTTTTGTTTTAAAACTTAATTCTAATTTTTTTTTTAAAAAACTTTTTTTTTTTAGGTTTTATTTTTTAAAAATTAACTAATAATTTTTTTTCTTTTCTTTAAATATTATTTGCCTCCTTAAGACAGAGGGGACCACTACAGGTTTTTTTTATATTGGTTACCAACCCTCTCTTTAACTTTAAAAACTCTTTAATAATTTAACTTCAAAGCACAATTTACAAACAAGGTCACTGTGCGGGGAAACAAGTTGTTTAATCTGAACAAGTTTTATATATAAGAAATTATAATTTAATAATATATAACTTAATATTGTATAACAATTTTTAAAACACAAAAAAAAATATTTTGGCTTGTTTATTCAAAAAAAGTATTTAGTGTTAAAAAAAACGTGAGAAAAGTTAAAATAAAAGAGAAAATAACAAAAACTCTTAGTTTAGTTGCTAACTTAGTAAAGTTGCTCAGCAAAAATGCTTAAGGACTAAAACTTCTGAAAAGTTCCAAAAACTTCTAAAAAATTAAAGAAAACTCTAGAAATTTAAAAGAACTTCAAAAGGTTATTAGTAGCACTTTAACCTATGAAATGAGCACTTAAATCCAAACACTTTTTGCATAAATAAAAAAGAGCAAAATTTTATATTTTATTTTGCTGTACAAAAATACTGACCAAACCCTAACCTGTACTCAACAATAGAATAAGTATGATATTGTTCTTTAAAAAAAAAAGGTCTAGTTGACTTTATTCTATCCTTATTTTATCATATATAATATACCCTATTCCTATCTAACATTATGTCACCAATGACTTTTTATGTGAATATAAGTATGTAGAGTATGATATATAAATAAACAGGATATAAAACAAAACATAACTTCTGTTCTATATACTAATGTACTAAATGTAATTATTTATAATGGATTGTAATTAAAGCTATGATTGCCCAATCAAAATCCATTTTATAACTTAAACACTAACATTTAATAAAATTCATAAAGATGAACTATAATTAACAAGCAGTGTCAACAGGCTGTGGAGTTTATTGTCTGGTCACCGTGGTCAATGTGTAGTCAAGTCAGCAAATTTGCAAAGCATTGAAGAACCTAAAATAAAAAAATCAAGTAGACCAAAACAAAACAACAAATTAAAACTTTAAAATATTACAAACAATAGTAAAAATATAACAACTTCAAGAATTTTTGATTTTTTTTCATTATTAAAAAGAATTAAATTTAAAAAATAGTTGAAGTTTTTTAAAAAAAAAGTTTTAAAAAGCTTTTTAAAAATATTATTTTCTTTCAAAATAATACCTTATGTATAAGAATGGTTCCACAAAGTCCTCTTCTACCTGCATTTTTATCTTCACTTAAAATGGCACAATCTTCCCCAACTACAATCATCTCAACATTGATTCCTTCAGACTTGGCTAACTCTACAGCTCTGCCAAAATGAAGACGATCACCTTAGTACAAAATGAAGTTTACAAAAACTTTGCTAATTATATCACAATAATAATTCTTACAGTTCAATTTTAAATATTGTCTTATCTCTATCTTATGATTCATTTACAATATGTTTTAAATTGTTAACATTTTTGTCAGTTTGAATGAATTACTTAAGTTTAGTTTTTGCCTTTCATGGTTGCTACTTTAGCATAGATTTTCAATGCCTGTAAATTTTCCTTAACAAACTTTATCTAGAACCGGATTTTCAGTTATTTAAAATTTCAGTTGTTCAAAGTAAATTCTCTTTTCTCCATGTTCGAATAAACTTGTCTTTTTCTACTATCTAGCAAAATAATAATGCTATACAATTAGTAAGCGAGCAGGGTTGAAATTTGACTGGGTTTGATAAAAAAAGCAGAGTCAGGTTTATGACCGGGGCTGCATCAACATTGATACATCCTAAAGTATATTTTTTTATTAGAGATTTATGTTATTTTATTTATATATGCATGTATATTTATATATAAACACCATCATGATCAACATCATGATGTTCTTTATGTATGATGATGATGATGATGATGATCATCATCATTATCATCATCATCATCATTATAATCAGAATTAGCTTTCTATTTTTATGCTGTTTCTCTAATATAAATTCTCGAGCATCTTTTTTTCCATAATTATTGCTTATTCAGACCATACGTAATGCGCTCTCTCAAAATTTTCTTAGTTCTACCTCTACCATTTTTCCTGAAGAATCTTCCTCTCTAAATACTAATACCAAAACCACTTTAATTCTCTCAGACAAATATTGTTCGATATTATGCTTTTTTTAATCTCTGTCTAAAAATATCCTTTTCTGGTCTTGTTAGAGTCATACTACACATCCATCTGATCATCATCTTCCCCTTTGGCAAATACTACACCATATAAGTATTAAAGGTAAGGAAGTTAGGTAATCCAAGCATATGGTATTTAACTTTTTATCCCTTCTCATTGGTTTTAACTCAAACCTTAATCAACTCCATATTATCCACCTCCTTGTGAAGCTGCTAGATTAAACAGTAATCATTTTTTTCAATTATTTCAAATGAACATCTCTCTTGACAAATCTTTTTTTTATTATTGCAAGAAGTTATGTAAAAAGGTCTCATGCTAAGCTCAACTACTCCCAATTTATTAAACCTTATCTCAGAATCTTACCTCAGAAGTTACTAAACAATTTACTAAACCTTATCTCAGAATCTTACTTCAGAAGTTACTAAACAATTTACTAAACCTTATCTCAGAATTTTACCTCAGAAGTTACTAAACAATTTACTAAACCTTATCTCAGAATCTTACCTCAGAAGTTACTAAACAATTTACTAAACCTTATCTCAGAATCTTACCTCAGAAGTTACTAAACAATTTACTAAACCTTATCTCAGAATTTTACCTCAGAAGTTAATAAACAATTTACTAAACCTTATCTCAGAATCTTACCTCAGAAGTTACTAAACAATTTACTAAACCTTATCTCAGAAGCTCTAGAGACTTTTGAAAAATCTTCAACAGCGTCAGTAACTATCCTACGAATAGTCTTCACTCAATTATTTTCTATTAATTCTAATTATTTAGTTATTAACTAATTATTAGTTTCTTTATAACACGGTTTTAAGATTATTAAATCATTTCTTTCTAACAAAATTATTCTCCAAGGCCAACACTCTTCTTCATTTCCAGTAACTTTAGAAGTACCGCAAGGTTTTATCTTTTCTCTTATATTGGTTTTTATATAAATTTTATTTGAAATAGTGTTTTATAAATACTTAACATTATGTAAATTTTTTTTTTTTTTCAAGGTTTGGCAGCCTTTACTAGACTTACCTTGTGGTGCATGCTGTTAAAACTGATTTAAAAAACAACTTCATAATTGATATTTTGAAGATTTTATAACATCAGTTATGAATTTTTCTCAGAACATACTTGTACTTAGAAGGTCTGGGCATGAAGACAATTTTTACAAATTTTTAAAAATATTTTGCAACACCGGAAAAAGTTAAGGTCATTTTAATGTTTCAATAAAAAGTGATTTTGATGGAAACATAAATGGCATTAAAGGCAGGCTTGGCCAGGAAGACGTGCGATTTCACGGCATAATATAAACACGAAAATACTATTTGATTTTACTTAACTTAACAATGGCTGTTAATATGTTTTAAAAATTAATATACATTTTAAAAACATACTAAAAAAATTATCTTAACTTAACTATAAAAAAACTTTAAAAAAAACTTATCATAAGAGAAGCAAATAAATCTTCATAAAAAAAACAAAAACGAAAAACAAAATAAAAATAACTTAAACTTAAATAAAAAAACAAAATTAAAACTTAACTAAAATAAATAAGGATGAGTTTATCTAAATTACGTTTGGAATAAATAACTTTGAATCGTTTATCTTTAATAATGTTTTTATAATATAATATTACACAAAAACCTTTTTAAATAAAGTAAAAACTTACATCTAACAATTGTTTAATAAAATAATAAAATTGTTTAAATAAAAAATTTTAATTATCGCTCAATATTTTTTAAAGAAATTAAAAGTGGAGTGCGACTCCAATAATTGAAACGACTCTAATTAGAGAAATGTTTCCAATTGTTGAAATTTTCAACAATTGGAGTTGGTACTTTTTTTTACTCCACATCCCTGGATTTGACAGTCACAAAAATGACTGAAAATTAAGATTTTTTAGAATTGACACTTTTTTTTATTTGAAAATTGTGTCTGTTGAGGAAATTAGTATATTGCAATCTACTTTAGGTCTCTCTTTGAAACAAACTCACAAAGCAGCTACTTTTTTCAGAACTTGGAGTGGTTGCAAATATTGAATCAGGTTTGGTTTGAAAATAAGTCAACAAGACAAAGCACTTATTACAATAGTAGAAATCTTTGTGCAATACTAAAACAATCAAATTTGATGTTTCCATTAGTGATGAACAGAGTGGAAAAGCTCAGCACTTGACCAAATTCTGGACCATTGAGACTTTCCACCAGTATATGATAAATGTGTACATGATACAAGTAGGCATTGATGGAGGTGGTGGTTTCTCAAGATTTGTATGAATATATTGGAATATATAGAGACGTATGAATATATTGGAAAGTCAAAAACAAAAAACAAAGCATAAGTTTTCCTATTCAAATCTTCTCAAGCCTATTGTGACTCAGGAGTAAAAAAGCTCATGATCTTGGTAATTGTTGAATCTGTGAAAAATTCTCATGAAAACTCAGAGCAAATTTAAGAGTTGTTGGCCGTGAAAGTGCTGTCTTAACTGTAGTTGGGAACATGAAACTTGCAAATGCTTTTCTTGGATTAGGCTCAGCTGCATCCACATACCCTGCCCTTGGTGTGAAACTTCAAAGAAAGATTTTAGAAACTAAGAAAGGACATGGCAATTAACAACACTTGTGATGATTAGACTCAGTACCAATAATTATCAGAAAGATCTCAGTGTTCATTCAAAAAAATCATAGGTCTTGACAACAAGCTACAAAAGTTGCATGAACCTCCCTCTACTTGATCTTTCAGATAAAAAAAGTGCTCGCTTCATAAGTGAAAGGTTCCGAGTTCAATCCCCACCACATCCCTGGTAGTACCGCGTTCAAGTTGTTTCTCCACGCAGGGGCTTTGCTTGTCAAGGTTCGTATTTCGGAGTTATAGTTATAAAAAAAAAGAATTTTTTTTTTTACAAAAACAACTTTTAAAATAATTTTAAATTTTAAACTACTTTAAAATAGAAAACTACTTTTTCGGTAGTTTTCTATTTTAAAATTATCTTTGGGTAACTAATTTTTAAGATGACATTGTATTGATCTTTGTACATGAGTCTGATTTGGGTTGTTAATAAAAATTTTAACAATTTTTTTTTTTTAATTTTTATAGTCCAGAATTTTAATTCGAATTTTTTTTGAAGCAAACTTGTTCATCAAAAAAGTAAAGTTCAATTCTTATTATAATAAAAAAAAAAAAAAAAATTTCAACAATTTTTTTTTTTTTTTAATAGTCCAAAACATTTTTTGCAAAATATAACAGACCAAAAATTTTGATGGAAAAACAATAGCCATAACTTTCTTTGGTTTTTACCTTGATGGTAATTCTATCTCTATGTATGTTATTTTGTGTACCAATCAATGACAAATCTAAATAAACTTTTCTTATTATTTACTAATAACCCAGTTTTTGAGTTGCTTACTGTTTGTATACTTTGAGATTAGAAAACTATGTATTTTTAATTTTTTGTCTACTTTGCTTTATAAATCTTTTAATATAATTAAAAGTAAAAAAACTAATTATGCAATAAATATTATGTTTTACTAATATATTATAAATATTTTGTCTTATTAATATACTTTAAATAGTATGTTCTGTTAATGTTATATAAAGATTAAGTAGGGTTATTCCATATCAAATCACCTAGTTTTTTAAAAGTTCCCCAGGGTACCATCTCAAACTTTCTTTAAACTTTGACCACACACAGATTTTATGAAAAAAATACAATCCAGAAAATTTCAGCTTGATTGACCTATTTATGATTGAATTAAAAACTACCAAAATCTGAAAAATTTGTGTATCAGGAGCTTACAGCAGTTTTTTTTGATTTTTGACAAACCATTACTTTTTAAATAAAGATGGCGATCACCTGAAATTTTGTAGGGTAATAGATTTTCACCCAAATAATCCATTATTGCAGTTGTTTTTGACTGATCTTTTACAGTTTTTGAGTTATTGTACCTTAAAGTTGCTAAATATTGCAACATAAATATTTTTTCGAACTTTAATGTGTTACAGTTTCATACTTACTAACAGAAAGTGGATTTTTTTGTTACCTTTTTGTACTTAGGGTCACCACTTGTTAGAATAATCAAAATTATGCATTAAAAATTAATTTAGCACATGCAGCAGCCTATTGAAAAATCCCTTTTTTTAAAACTATGATAAATTACATTGACTTTGCCAGCATAGAAAGTAGCGTAAACAGTTAAAATAAATTATGAAACTTTTTAATGTTGAAGTTCTATATATAGACAATTACCAAAAAAAATTTAAAGACCTATACTCTATCTTATGACATGATTGTAGCTTTTTGAGAGTGATGGTATTTTCAAAAGGAGAATGTTATTAGACTATGAGCTAGCCTTAGGTCATAGTCTAATAATTAGTCATAGGGATGACAGTAGTATAGTTTTTTTTTTATCTGTGAATGAATATATTCAGTTTTCCTTTTAATGACATAATGTCTTAATTTGTACTAATAGTAATGACATAATCAGTGTCATAATCAGTGTCTGATATTTGTTAGTTTCTTTGAGATTTAACAATTTTATGTCTTTTTTAAACTTTTTAGATTAGTAATAAAAATGAAAAAATAGTAAAAAATGACAGAGAAATGTTTTGGGGAAAGTTTTAAATGAAGATTGTGACAAAACGTATTATTGCAGAATGATTGGAAGAATAAAACTAAAAGATATTGTGAGCACAGATGCTGAAGTTTTAATTCAAAGATTGGACACACTTTTGAACTAAATGAGGAAATATAGGCTTTTTCACCATGAAAAAGCCTATATTTCTAGATATGAACCGCTTTAAAAATACTGCTGTGATCCGTTTAAAGTCCACAAGAAAAAAATTATTAAGGGATTGTGTAAAGTTAATAATTTAACAGCAAGTCAACTTAAGATCAAACCTGGTCAAAAACTTTGCAATTACAGGAAAATTTAGTCAAGAAGATGAAGACAAAGATGTTGATGATGAGGAGTTTAGTTCTTCAGACCTAAATAAGACAGTTTTAAATAAGAGTGCTTCTTTACTGGAAATATCTCCTCTAAAAAATGTAAGTAAACGTGACAAATTAGAATATGGAAAGCAAAAAGTTAAAAAACTGGAAACAGGTATGACAAACCTAGTAGCATCAGCATTAGATATAGACTTAAAAGAAATAATATCTGAGAAAAAGCAAAAGTGCATTAACTGTAATGATTTAGACAAACTTTTAGATGCAATAAAGGAAAAAGTAAAAATCAGTTCGAATGAAGAAAAAGTTCAATTACTATCATTAACTCCTGATAGTTGGTTAATTAAAAAAACTTGCAATGCATTTTCAATTTCAGACCATCTTGTTAAGCCAGAGAGCTAAAAAATGAAAAGGGAATACTTGCTAAACCTGAGGCTAAAAAAGGACATCCTTTGGAGGATATTGTTAAGCAGAGAGTCATTGAAATATATGAATCTGACGAATACACTATACAATGTCCAGGAAAAAAAGACTTTGTTTCTGTGAGTATAAATAATGTTAAAGTTCATAAACAAAAACGCTTAATATTAGTTTGTTTAAAAGAACTTCATCTGGAATTTAAGAAGTTATACCCTGAACACAAAGTTGGATTCACCAAGTTCTGTGAACTAAGGCCAAAGTAATGCCTTACTGTTGATAGTAGTGGAAGCCACTCAGTTTGTGATGTTCTTACCATCAAAATGCTAAGTTGATATGCTCTGCTCTTCCTAACAGCCATTTAATATATTACAAAGATTTAATGAAAGTATGTGCTTGTAATATAGATAGTCGAAACTGCATGTTTCATCTATGTTCCAACTGCCCTGGTAAAATAAATTTGAAGACTTACTTGGGAAACGTATTTGAAAAGAATGATTTTGATTTTGATTTCAGATCACATATAAACAATGGGTGTCAACTGACCGAACTGCACTTATTACAGTCCAAACAAGCATTAGTGAATTTATTGAAACTTTAAGTGAAACTTTGTATGACCTTTGTCACCACCACTTTATCAAAGAAGCACAGTCTTCCTACTTATCAGAGGCAAAACAAACATTAGACCAATATACCTGCATTACTCTGATGGATTTTGCAGAAAACTATTGTTTTCTTGTACAAGATGCTATACAAGGGTTTTACTGGCAAGCCAATCAAGCTACCTTACACCCATTTATTATTTATTACAAAGATAAAAAAGATCACCTTAAATGCTATTGTTAAATTTCAGACCATCTTTGTCATGACCAATCAGCAGTCCATTGTTTTATTACAAAGTTGCTCCCTATGGTCAAAATCAAACTACCCACAGTGAATAAAGTTAAATACTTCAGTGATGGTGCTGCGTCAAAGTATAAAAACTACAAATGTGTAATAAACTTAATTTATCACATTGTAGATCACCAAATAAATGCTGAGCATCACTTCTTTGCTACGTCACATGGCAAAAGTCTATGTGATGGAATAGGAGGCACTATAAAAAGAGAAGCGCAAAAGCTAGTCTACGAGCAGCAATTAAAAATCAGATTCTCACACCACAAGATCTGTTTACATGGGCTCGAAAAAACATCAAAGATGTTAACATATTTTATCTTTCAAATGACGATATCAATAAGCATGAAACAATTTTTAACCTTAAGATATGATATGAAGGGATGCGCACAGTTCCGGGAACAAGAAGCTATTACTGTTTTGTACCAGATGGAGAGAAATTGTTTTTAAGAAGAATCTCTAGTGATGCTGTCTATGATACTCATGTGTTAAATGATGTTAATTTGATTAAAAAAAATCTTTCAAATTTTCAACCTGGTAAATATATTGCATGCTTTTACGATGAAGAATGGTACGTAGGGCTTGTGGTTGATATTTGTAATGAAAACCAAGACGTTAATGTGGAGTTTATGCAAAGAAACAAATTAAATTTAAAAAGGAAAAACGATGCACAATCAAGTCAGTGTTGGGTTCCATTTGACAAGATAATATGTCAAATAAGTGTTCCATTGATTAAAAGTGTAAGTGCTCGTGACTATATTCCTGCTAGTAATGACTATGACAGTATTATGAGTTACATAAATCAGAGATAAGCTAATTAGTTTCATGTATACATACTTTTTCTTTTAACTGACTATCTTACTCTTTGAATGCACTTTTTTACAGTATAGTTTGTATAAAATTTAAGGTAAAAATTTTGTATGTGGTAAGTGGTATTTTTTTGTCCTCCTTTTAAAAATATCATCACTCTCAAAAGGCTACAATCATGTCATAAGATAGAGTAAAGGTCTTTAAATTTTTTTTGGTGATTGTCTATATATAGAACTTCAACATTAAAAACTTTCATAATTTATTTCAACTGTTTACGCTACTTTCTATGCCAGCAAAGTCGATGTAATTTATTATAATTAAAAAAAAGGGATTTTTTAATAGGCTGCTGCATGTGCTAAATTAATTTTTAATGCATAATTTTGATTATTCTAACAAGTGGTGACCCTAAGTACAAAAAGGTAACAAAAAAATCCACTTTCTGTAAGTAAGTATGAAACTGTAACACGTTAAAGTTCGAAAAAATATTTATGTTGCAATATTTAGCAACTTTAAGGTACAATAACTCAAAAACTGTAAAAGATCAGTCAAAAACAACTGCAATAATGGATTATTTGGGTGAAAAACTATTACCCTACAAAATTTCAGGTGATCACCATCTTTATTTAAAAAGTTATGTTTTGTCAAAAATCAAAAAAAAGCTGCTGTACGCTCCTGATACACAAATTTTTCGGATTTTGGTAATTTTTAATTCAATCATAACTTTTGAACAAATTGGTCAATCAAGCTGAAATTTTCTGGATTGTATTTTTTTCATAAAATCTGTGTGTGGTCAAAATTTAGAGCAATTCTGAGGTGGTACCCTGGGAGCCTTTAGGTGATTTGATATGGAATAACCCAGTATTATTAATATAGTATAAATATTAGGCTTTAATAAATGCTATAAATATTATGCTTTATTATTGTACTATATTATGCTTTATTATTGTATTATTGTAAATATTATGTTTTATTAATATGCTGTTAATATTATATTTTACTAATTATGCTATAAATGTTATGTAACTATAAGTACAAAGTATAAATTTTCATGAAATAGACTTTTTTTTAAAATCAGACACAAAATACTTTTATGATTTTAAAATAGTTGCAATGCAAAAGAAAATTAAATTTGAATAATATAATTTGTTTTAAAAATTATTGTATAAAACTTGTATTATAGTAAAAATATAAATAAAATGTTTAATAAAAAAAAATAATACACAATAAAACAAAACGCTTAATCACTCAAAACTCTCTGAAATTAATAAATCAAATAGCATGCTTGTTTTTTTTTCTGTCATTTTTTCATGATTTAAAGTCATTTCATAAATTTAGAATTGAGACTTTGTGTGGAATGGTGAGATATGTATAATGGATTGGCAACCTAAGTGTGATGGAGTAGCAACCAAGGTGTCATTGAGTGACAACCTATGTATCATAAAGTGAAAAACTGTATCATCGAGTGACAACTTTTTCAAAACTTTTCTAAATTAAATGAATGATATGCAGTAAGAATATAACTATATAATTATAAAAAAAAAAAAACATACCTGTATAATTTTTTACAATCAGTAAGACACCAGCATCATTGGCACATGCTCTTATTGCACTCAATATAGCTAAAGAAGAAGGTGATGCAAAAATATCACCACAAACTGCAGCAGTTAACATTCCTTTTCCAATATATCCAATATGTGCAGGTTCATGGCCAGACCCTCCCCCTAAAAAACAACAGTCTATTATATATAAAAAGGAATACTTATTACTAATGTTTATCTACTTTTATTTTTATACTTTGTTAATACTATTCATATTATACTATTGATATATTTATTACATAAAATATAAAGTTAGTAAACAACTTTTTCTATGCTTGAATAATTTGGTTTTCCATAAGACCATTTTCTTTTTTAAATATTACATTATGAGAGAGTTAAAAAATTTTTTGCAACTCAATTTTTTATCCCCTTTCTGCTATTAACTTGTTTTTTAGAACAAAAATAAGTATTTATTGTAATACTCCCACAAGAAAAACTGACATTCAAGGTTTACACACTGCTTCTATTCTTAACCATATACCCAATAACAATAAGAACAACTTAAATATAGTTATAATAACAATAATTTATATATATACCTAAATATATGGGTGGTTTAGAAAACAATTTTTTAAAAATAGTCTGCTGCTCTTAACTAAATGTGTTCTATATAATACAAAAACACAAGGTTTAAAATTTATTTGAATAAAAAATATTTTTAGGGGTGCCTCAAGACCTTTAAAAATTTGGCGGATCCTAATATTTTGAAAAAAAAAAAATTCTTAAGTATTTCATAACTTGGTACTAATAAGAAACAAAATTATATAAAAACTTCAAAACTGAAAATCAATTTACATAAAAATATTTTTTTCAGATTTAATTGCCTAAGAACTATTCTTTTTAAGATGAAATGAAAAAAAGTCAATATTTTCAAGTTTTTAAAATAATTTTTTACTTTATTTGGTTTCTTTTGAGTACCAGGTTAACATACTTTAGAAAAACTTTTTTTTTTTAAATTTTAGGGAACCGTCAAATTTTTAAGGGTCTTGAGGCACCCCTAAAAATAATTTTTATTCGAAAAAATTTTAAACCTAGTATTTTTGTATTATATAGAACAAATTTAGTTATGAGCAGCCGACTATTTTTAAAAAAGTTGTTTTTTGAACTACCCTAATAAATACAAATAATAATAACTTTTTAGTTTTGTTACTTTTGACTTTTGTCCAACACTTCCGTGTTGTCTAAAAGTCAAAACCATGAAATTAATTGCAAATAAAAATTTGTTTAAATTTCTGCAAAAAAGTATGTATACATTTACCTAAATTATTTATTACTGTTATTATATATATTTTTTTATGTGTGTGTTTATATATATGTGTTTATATGTATTATATATATATATATATATATATATATATATATATATATATATATATATATATATATATATATATATCACATGTGATAACTAAAAATCTTGACAAAGTTTGAGCAAATATTAAAATATGAATTAATTTAATATACTTGCCATTAATTCTTTAAATGTATTATTAAAAAAAATTTATTTAGTAATAATTAAAAATGAAAAAAAAAGACTTGTAACAAAGACTCCCTTAAAAAACTCAAAGAAAGGAGAATAATATAGGACCAGAAAGAAAAGTTGGAAGTGATCGCAAAGCAAAAAATATGTCTGCAAAAGAGATAAAGTATCTTAAAAATTCAATTGATCAAAAATATGGTATCTCAGCACAACATCGCTCTATCAGGCCAAGCAGTCAATGAAGGTGTGTATTTTTTAAAATGTCTTGTTAGAATTCATGGAAAAACATCATAAAAATGACAATATTGTCTTTTGGCCTGATCTTGCTTTGTCACATTATTCGCGTAAAGTGCAAGGTTATCTAAAAGCTAAAAATATTGAACTTGTACCAAAAGAGCATAACCCTGCTAATGTGCCAGAATTACGCCCAAATGAAGATTTTTGGTCTGAACTTAAGAGATTAGTGTATAGTAAAAACTGGCAAGCTGAAAATCTAGGTAAACTTAAAAAGTGGATTGAGTTTTTAATTAAGAAAATCAACATAGAACGTGTACATTGGCTAACTGCCGCAACATTTACAAGAGTAGACACCGTTTGTCTTCATGGCATGAAAAACTTATAATATTTAAAAATTTTATTATTTAGATATTTTTTGTTATTATACTTTTTAAATTATTAAAATTGATCATTCCTTTAAAACGTTATACAATTTCTAATTTTGTCCAGATTTTTAGTTATCACATGTTATATAGCAATATAATATTGGATTAAAAAAAAAAATTAATAAAAAATTTATTGAAGGGTTGCTACAGACTCTCAAACATTAAATCAGTCCCTAAAATGATAATAAAAAAAAGTTTTTTAAAAGTATGTCATGTTGGGCCTCAAATGACCAATATAAACAATTTTTCATTATTATTATAAATAATTTTTCTTTATTATCTAACATTTCTTGACATTTAAGTTTTTTATGTTCGAATTTCAGCAAAAAACAAAAATCCGAAATAACATGTTAAATTCTTTTTCAACACATCTATACCTACTTTTTAACATAAAATAGTTAAACTTATAATACAAAAACTTATAATACAGAGCAATAATACTGAGTAGTTATCGCTGTTTGAAAAACTGTTTGACTTCATTTTAATATATTTTTTACACAACATTACATAATAACCTAGTAAATTTCTTTTTTACCACATTCTTAATTAATTTTTGTAACTTTTAATTAATAGTAACAGTTTTAAACTTTAAGTTTGCGATCCACGTTGAAATTACATTATGTGAGCAAATTTTTAAGAATTAGAGTGATAAAAATAACTTATTAAATGTCTGCTGGCACCCCTTGAATGTGTTCTAGATAATAAAATAATACTGGATTTAAAATATTTTTGAATAAAAAAATTTTTTAGGGGTTGCTAACAACCCTCAAACATTAAATAGGTCCCTGAAACTATAAAAATAAAGTTTTTTAAAGTATTTTGCAAAATCAACACAAAATTGAAAATGAATTCCTAAAAAAATTTTTTTTTTTTATCATTTTGGGTCTCAACCAAAGCCAAATTATATAAAACTTTATTATTTAAAATCAATTTAACCATTTAATAATAATTTAATTATAAAATGATAATTATATAAAAATCATCATTTTATAATTAAATTATTATTTTAGATTTTAGTGAACAGGAAATTACATTTTTCAAGGGTTCATAGCAACCCTCAAAATATTTTTTATTGAAAAATCTAGTATTATATTGTTATATAGAACACATATAAGGGGTGCCAGCAGACATTTTCAAAAAAAGTTGTTTTTAGAAACCCCCTAATGTGTATATATAAAAATATATGTGTGTATATATACACACATATATATTTATAAAAACAACACACACACACATGAAAATATATATATATATATATATATATATATATATATATATATATATATATATATATATATATATATATATATATATATATATAATAACAATAATAAACTTTTTCTTTTCACAAAGAAGAAATATGAATAAACTATTTTGGTGATATATTGAAGTACGACCAATTTTTATAAAATAAATTATTGTTATTGCTATTGTATAACACAAGGAGGTTTAATAAACAGGAGACGGTGTCACGTGACTTTTTTGAAGCCAGTTTTTAAAACGGCCGCCATCTTGGTTAACCCAAAACATTACACGGAACTTAAAATCTTACTAAAAAGTTTATTAAATTCTAGACAAATGATTGCACCAAATGATTGAATTATTCGTCACTTTATGTTTGGCAGCTTATACTATCTTACTAAGAATTATTTGCTAACTGATTGCCTTTTTCTGTTTATTCTAATAACATTTGGAATACTGAAATAGACATTCAGATGGCTATATTTTGACACGATACTAGAAGATATTGTTTTTCAAATAGTATAAAAGATTGTTGAGAAAATAAGACCAAATGTTTGTGAGTTTTAATCTATATTTAAACAATTAAAAATAAATATAAATTTACAAGTGTGTGTGTTTATATATGTATATATATATATATATATATATATATATATATATATATATATATATATATATATATATATATATATATATATATATATATATGTAATATATATATATGTGTGTGTGTGTATATATGTATATGTATATAATACAAATATCATAAATATATATAATATATAATATAATATATAATGATTATATAATATATAATGATAATATAATATAATATATAATATATAATATATAATATAATATAATATATAATATAATATATAATATATAATGATAATATAATATATATATATATAATGATAATATAATATATAATATATAATATATAATGATTATTAATATAAATTTGTACAACATTTTACCATGAAATATATGACTGGAGCAAGTAGACAATAGTCTCATCATCTTCCCCATTTTAGTCGTTGACAAAATATATATATAAATTGACAAGATATATATATATATATATATATATATATATATATATATATATATATATATATATATATATATATATATATATATATATATATATATATATATATATATATTTGAATAATTTTAAATGTATTTCACAAAAAGCGTTTTTCAGAGAACTGAGCAACTAGCAACTAAATATATATTTATTAAATAATTTTTTTTTTGACTTTACATGATTTATACTGAGTGTAGGCTAAAAAGTTGATAAAAAGATATAACTTGACAAGACTTGTTTTGCCTATGGATGCAAGAGATTGTGCTGATGGTATTACTTCTGCAGAAACATTACGCTACACCAAGCAAGAAAATTCACAAAGTAATAATATCATTAAAATATATTCTATAAAATATTGACTAATAAAATAACGAAATCACTAGAGTAATAGCATATATGGTATTACTATGGTGTTTTTTTTATTAGTCAATATTTTTATAGAATTCCGTCAAAAATAAAATATTAGGAATTAACAAAAGTTGATAACTGCTCTATGTAGAGAAAACAAAAAAACAGAAATGAGCAGTTGTGTTCAAAGAAGAAGAAGTACTAAATCAGCTTTAAATACAGAAGCTGATATGGATGGAACTAGGTCCTCATGTGTTCAGTAATTCAGTATGGCGCTATACCAGGCACTTTTGAAGCGCCATAGTAATAGCATACTTAGTTTCTTACTAGTTTTATTACTAACTTTTGATATTTTCTTACTGTAATTTAGCTAAGATCATATAGATCTGTTACTTTATAGTGAGTCGACAGTTGCACAAAAAGATAGTAATTTTTACAGGTCAAAAAGACAATAGAAGAAATTAATTTCAGCTAAACTTTGTGCATCTCCACAAAACTGTTTTTATATATATGTATGTATATATATATATATATATATATATATATATATATATATATATATATATATATATATATATTATTTATATATATATATATATATTTATATATATATATATATATATATATATATATATATATATATATATATATATATATATATATATATATATATATATATATATATACATAAATGTGTATATATACACATAATAAATAAGATATTGAAAGTTAAATATGTATATTTAATACATTTATCTTTATTTATGTTTACATTTAATTATGTTAAACTTTAATAAAAAACTCACAAACATTTTTTTTCATTCCATAAGATGTTCACACTTTGTAAAATATGTCTAAAAAATGTCTTTACATCTTCTAAAAGTGTGTTTATTATCTGAATGTCTACTTCAGTATTCCAATATTTTGGAATAAACTGAACCCGATAATCAGTTAGCAAACAATTCTTTGTAGTTTATTACAACCTCGGAAACAACTGGCAAATTATTTAATCATTTGTATCTATATTTTGACTTGTTTTCAGCAATGTTTTCTCTTAAAATATAAATTTCCGCGCAAAACATAACAATGTTTTGGGTTAACCAAGATGGCGGCTGACTTTCAAAACTGGCTTCATCGCGTTTTATATAAAGTATATACTACGGCGTCTCCTGTTTATTAAACCTCCTTGGTATAACAGTATTTTATATTATTGCTTTATTAAATGATTGATTATATTATAACCTTTTATTGTTATTTACTGTATAACTAAATTTTTATTTATTTAATATAAATAAAAAAATACTACCAAAAATAATTTTAAAAAAACTTATGACGAAATAATTTTTTTTCGAAATGCAACCCTGTATTTCTGTATTTTTATCTCTAAAAAGCATATCTTTTCGCTATACCTGGAATGAAGAAGGAACAAAATAAAAGTTCAGTGGAAATATCAAAAATTATTATCAAAACATAAAGGTTTTAACTTCTTAAAAAAGTCTGCACAGTACCATAGAGACAGGCAATCTGTGCAGAGCTAGCCAAGTCCATTTTTGACAGGCTATTCAATATTCAAGCATTCATTTACTTCTGTTTAAGCCTGTATCAAGCCTTATTTTAAAGCGTAAACCATTTGGGCATGTGCTAAGCCATTTAACATAAGTGGTAAGCCATTTTTTATTATTTATCTAAGTCTAAAGAAATCATTTCAGCAGTAAGATAAAAGAAAAAATTAACGTTATAAATACTTGCGCTGCTTACAAATGTAACTTAAGATAAAAAAAAATAAAATTTTATTTTTATTAACCTAAATTTTCCATCAAAAATGTTCTGTAAAGGAAAAATAAATAAAATGTTATAGGCGTGTAAAAAAAGAAATCATAAAATAAACATGATAAAAATTTTTTTATTATCTTGCAAACACAAGAATATTTATTTAGACAATTTCTCATAACAAATAATAACAAAAATAATTACCGAATTTGAAAAATAAATTAAAAAAAAAAAAGTATACGTTAAATTTTGTTTTATATTAGCGCTACTTTTGATATTAAATTTTTGTTTGTTTGTTTTGTTTTGTTAGAATGATTACAAACTTTAAACCACATCTTATAAAAAGTTTATTTTTTTTAAATTAAAAAAAAAACTTCTTTAATGGATACAACTATAATAAGGGGTCATTCATAAATTGTCATGCTATAAGGGGGAGGGGGGGTTGGTAGTTTGGTGACGACTCATACAAAACTTGCTTCTTAAAGGTTACGATTTTGTGATGAGGGGGAGGGGGAGGTCAAAATCTGTCAAAAAATGCGTGACGTAATTTATGGACAATCCCTAACAATTTTTTTTCTTGAATTTAAGCTTGAATCAATATAACTCTTGCAATGTCTTTATTTATATTTATAAGTTTAATTTTGCATAAAATAATAGTTTAGAAAAATAATATTTTATAAGTGTTACATAAGCTTTATATAATTAACAGATTGTGTGATATCAAAAAAATGAAAACAGAAAATTCTTTTTAACTTAAAAAGAATTTTGAATAAAAAAATTATTTAAACTTAAACAAATTAGATTTTTTTTATCTCGGTTTTTCTTCCTCCTTTTCTATTTTTTACAAAAAATTAAATTCTTTGTTTAAAAATTAAGTTTTTTTATTTAAAAATAATAAAGTTTTAAATGCGTTTTTCTTTAACCACATTTACATTGTTTAATTTGTCATTTTTAAAACAACTTTTCATTTAGACTAAATGTGAAGCTATTTAAAAAAAGCGTAATTTAAATTGTGTTTATCCAGTTGCTTTTTCTACTAAATTTTAGCAGAGAAAGCAAATGGATAAATACAATTTATATTACTCGCTGTTATTTGTAATTTTGAAGGTTATTAAACTTATTTTAAATTTTCATTAATACAAAAAGCATTTAATATATTTTTAATTTTTTTTATATGATAAAATAAAGGATAAGTTAAACAATTATTTCTATAATATAGACTATATGGCTTGTATGTATTCTTGTATAATTTTCTACTTTAGACTTGACATGTAGTAAATTACGATATAAATTTAAATCAGTTTTAAAATTAAAAATGTTAACATTTTTTTGATGGGTATCTTTATTTAGGTTAGTTACACCTAAGTTTACATAGAGCTAGTTTATATGATTTTATAATTTGCAATTTTAGACTCGTGGCATGCAATATCACACTATAAGTTTAAATTAGTTGTAAAATTAAAAATGTTTACTTGCATTTCTTTAATGGGTATATTTATTTAGGCTACAGGTAAGGTTGTCTTTTGTAGTGCATTTAATTTTTATCTAATACATTGAAATGTAGAACTAATAAAATAACATAATTTTTATTAGCAATTTAGAAATAAAAAATTAGCAATAAATGTTTCTTACAGGGTTATTAGTAAAAATTTATTTTTATTTTATATTGTAGTATATCATTTGTATTCAATATTTTCTTTATTGTATTTTAAAGTTTATTTATCTTTAAGGAAACCACAAATACGTTGCTGGAATTGAAGTGTGCCCACACATACGAATTTACAACAGTATTAAAAATTAAAACCTAGTATAGTAACAATTGTATGTCTTTGATTTTTATATAAACGTTTTTTGACCTTGAATATAATAACTTTTTTAATAAAATATATATTAAAAAACTTTTTATATTTTTATTTAAATTTTTTAATTTTTATTGTAATTCAAAGTTATTATATTGAATTAAATTATTATAAATAGTTAATTAGTTTTTAATTTAAAAGTTAAAGCATTTTAAAGCTTGATAAAAAATCTCTTGCAATCATGTTAGTTTGTATAAATAGTACTGCTGGTATCCGATGTTGAATATCATAATAAAATTATCTATATATTAAAAATAAGGACTATTTTGTAATGAAATCTCAGTTCTATCTGCCTTAATTCCTTTCAAACCTTGATAAAATAAAAATTATTCACTACAATGACATATTAAATCCTTTATTTTAACAAAACAGTACAAGCTGCCTGTGTAATATTTCCTTTATTTTAACGAATTGTTTGTTGCACAAACAAAATAAAACCGTTATTTCAATGGACTAATATTGATGAACATCAATCCGCTAAAATTTTAATCTGTTAACATAACGGAAAATCCGTTGGTGCAATAGCAACAGATGCAGTTCGTTGTTTGTGACGGATTTTTTCTTAGAGTGTATATTTATTTTAAAGAATATATATATATATATATATATATATATATATATATATATATATATATATATATATGTATATATATATATATGTGTATATATATAAATATATATATGTATGTATGTATGTATGTATGTATGTATATATATATATATATATAAAAATATATATATATATATATATATATATACACATATATATATATATATATATATATATATATATATATATATATATATATATATATATATATATATATATATATATATATATATATATATATATATATATATATATATATATATATATATACTTTAAAATAAATATAAAATTGTAAATTTTACATTTATTTTAAAGTATTATTTAAATTACATTTTAAATAATGACAGCAACAACAACTTAATAGTAATAATATATCTTAACCTAACGTTAAATAGCCTGCTGCCGGGGGTTTCAGTACATACATCGACTGACAAATAGCCTGACTTGCAGTGGAGTGCTGCTACATCGACTGAGGGTTTGGTATGGGTCAGCAACCTTTTTATTCATTATTCTTTGTTTTCCCTCATCGTTTTCTAAAAACGCTCACTTAATTTAGGCTAGCAAAAAAAGTGAGCAACTGCGCATATAAATATGCTATAGTAGATATATATAACATTATTAATAAAAAATAATAACATTAAATAAAGACCATAAAATATATTTTATACTGAAAAGTTTTGTACAAATGCAAATAGATAACACAAAATGTATAAATACTGCACCAGCTATAAGAGAAACTTTTTTCTGTTTTTTAAAAATGTTTAAATCTTCTCTAACAACAATATGGGTGCCTTTTAACAGTTTTACTCCAGCATTTGATAAAACGAAGCCTTCTAAACTATCAGCGACACATGTTAATGGATCATTCACAAGCTTTTTTCCAACTCCATAATCCATACTATCATATTGCATTATTGAGAATGCACTTACTGCAATTGTATATTGATTTCTTAAGACAAAATAAAAATATTCATAAATCTATTTTTTATAAAAATATTTTCCTTTATAATATAATTTCAGTTTTACACATTTTATTATTTCATTGATATAAACATAATGTAAATATTCTTCATATGTAATAATATTATATAATATTGATTTCATTGAATTTTAAAATAACTTCATCAAAGTGAAACATTTATTTTATGACAAAAATGATTTCATGGCATGAAAACAAATTAAAGAAAACAAATAAGATAAAGAAACCATAAAATTCCAAAAAAAAATAAAAAATTAAAAGTTTTTTTTTAAATATAAAATTTATATATTATATATTTTTTTATATATTTAAATATTATATATTATATATTTTTATTTTTTCAAATAACATTAAAAGGATTAACCATAATAGACTTCTAATAAACTATCAACCAGAGTCTGTAAGGTTTTTTTGTTCCAGTAACTCTTTACTTACAGGGACAAAAATTTCAATTCTGACAATTTGAGCACAAAGTTCTAAAACAGAAGAAAACATACTACATTTGCTTATAAATGACTCATATAGATGTATTGAGTTTGAAAGTACTATTTTACCAGTAAGACCGTCAACAGCATAATGTTTTTCTTTTAAACTTGAAATAACGTCGCAATTCAAAATAACAGATTTTGAAACATGATGCGAGTTCGAAATAAGAATTCTAGGAAGATTAATTAAAGAATCTGCTACAATTTTTAGATACTCGGTATTAAACTGACCACTTGAACTCAATATATGCTGTGCTAATGTCAACTCAAATGATCCACAAGATGGCACTAGATAGCATTCTTCTTCTGAAAAGAATGTTGAAAGAAGTGATAGAAAAAAGTTTTTCAGAGCTGAAGCATACTCATAACAAACACCTTCTGATATGTTACATAGAAGCACTTGTAAATATTTATTGCTATCAGCAGATGGCCCAAGATGACAACAAGTATAGCGTCCTAAAATACACGAACGAAACCAATTTGCTTTACCTATACATGTTTTGTTATCAATATTGAAAATATCATATAAACCAGATATAACAGAAATTTTATATAACATTGCCAACCGCTTTAGGTCACAGGATTGAGTGTATGGTACATAAACAATATCTGATAATTCTAACAACATTTGAAATGATTTTGGAACTTGCTCTTCAAAAAATATAAGCCTAATGTTGTTTTCCTTTAATGTAGACACTAACTGCTGGAAAAAGGTATACTTTTCAGCCTCACGCATTTCAACTGTGAATTTTTCATTTAAACATGTTTCAAAGCTATTTAATTTACTGCGTTTCAGTTTTCCAGATATTAAAATAAAAAAACATTCGCTTATGTTCACTTGCTTTGGAAAACTTTCTTTTTGTACTATCACACCCTCAAGACATTGTGACTGGGTAAAAGATATACCGCACAGGGGTATGCAAATATTATCAAAATTGTCTACTAAAAATCTTAAACTTGTTCTTGAAAATTGAAAAGAATCGATAATACCTTGACAAATACCAAATAAAAATTCTTTGGTTTCACAATTAAATTTACCTGACATAAATGAATCAAAGATGCCGCGTAAAAAGTTTGATGGAAGATCATTAGCAGGTAAAACTAGTAATAGTCCTTCATTATACGAAGAAGTGCGCATAATCTCAAAGGAATATAATTCTCTCATTTTTAGCAAAAATTGAGATACATCAGATAGCATTTCTACTTTTTTTAAACAATTTTGAAGTAACTTACAAAAAGATCTGATTAAGCCAGATAAAAAAATGATAAAACTTTTTGAAGAATCTCCATATTTTAAAATAAACTTATCTGCAGAACTTTTGATCATCGTTCCCACAGGATGAGAAAAATTAAGATGTCTAAGTATTGAACAGCCATTACTTGTTGAAAAGAGTGTCCCTGTATTTGATTTTAATAACACCTCTTTACCACAAGGTCCAATAGAAGGTTCTAGTAGATAGTCAAGTTCTTGCAGTATATCACTAGCTAAAGAAATGCCAATAACCATCTAAAAAATATTGAAAATATTTGAAATTTACTTAATAAAGTAATTTATTATTATTTAAGCTGGTAATAAAATAATAATAACTATTCATAATTATTTTGTAATAATAACTATTCATAAATATTTTGTAATAATAACTATTCATAAATATTTTGTAATAATAACTATTCATAAATATTTTGTAATAATAACTACTCATAAATATTTTTGTAAATAAGTATTATTAAACTATTTAACTATATTTACAATCAAAAAAATAAAGAATACTAAAAAAGTTCATTATTATTTCAATTTAATTTAAATTTAAAAATTAATTCAATTAAATATACTTTAAAGTATTTTTATTATTTTACTCAAATATTTACAATAAATAGAAGAAAAAAAGATTCAAAATAAACAATATTTTTATTATTTTACAAATAAATTTCCAAAAAAGATTCATGCAAAAAACTGTTTCAATTGGTAAGAAAAAATGAAGACTTATGTATCTTGTTTTCTATTGTATATTTAATATGTGATTTTTTTTATTATACTTAATTTCTTTATGTTAATCTATATGATTTAACATAATCCACTTCCCTGTGGATTTTTCTACTAGCAAAAGATTATGAAAGAAAAGAAAGGGTTTAATTTTTTTGTATTATTAATATTTTCTGATGTATATTTGATCTGTGATTCTAATATTGAATGTAAAAGTAAATATCTATGTATTTTATGTGTGTAGAGGTTTGGATTTATTTTGCACACATCTTGTATGTTGCACATGCAAGTACATATATTGTTTATTTATGATATTATGTTTATTTATATTATTTTCATTCACTCAAACTTTTTATCATATCTCGATAATTCTTGTGTTATTTTAGTCATTCACTTTTGTGTCATTCATTCATTCCCACTCTTCTTTGTCTTGTTTTTATATTTCAATTTACTATTTTTTTATTGCTTAATCATTGTGTGTGTGTATATATATATATATATATATATATATATATATATATATATATATATATATATATATATATATATATATATATATATATATATATATATATATATATATACATATATATACATATAAATATATATATATATATATATATATATATATATATATATATACATATGTGCATATACACACACACACACACATATATATATATACATATATATATATATATATATATATATATATATATATATATATATATATATATATATATATATATATATATATATATATATATATATATATATATATTATATATATATATATATATATATATATATATATATATATATATATATATATATATATATATATATATATATATATATATATATATATATATATATATTTATAAATTGTAAATTAAAGATTAATAGCAACAATTGTTTCTTAGTAAAAATAGTTTTTAATTATTTATTTCTTACTTTATTAAATCATTCTTAAACAAACAAAGCATAGCTTTCAAACAACAAAAACAATGCATAGCTTTGAAACAACCAAAACACAGCATAGTTTTCAAACAACCAAAACACAGTATAGCTTTCGGTACAACCAAAACACAACATAGCTTTCAATACAAGAAGTCTTGAGAGTACAAAGATTTATTTAACAACAAAAGATGAGTTTGCAAACAACAATTACTTACATCACTTATATTTGTTGATTAGAAATGTGCGTAAAAAAAATGGTATTTATGACTGAATTTCAACCATCAATATGGTATTTTTATAAAGTATATTCGCATAAAGTATAAAGTAAATTTTACATAAAGTATGAAGTATACATATATAAAATAAAATATATAAAATATAAAGTATATATAAGTATATTCAAATAAAATTCATATTAAAATGAGGTAATAAACCGGTGGTAGAAACAAACTAGGCTCACAATCAAAAGATTCGAAGTTTCAAACCACCCTATGCCTATAGAAGTTCCTTGTCTGTTACTCAAACCAATTATTTTGCATATATTTTTGTGTGTATATTTTCATTTGGTTTGCAGCAGCAAATCAATAACTGTATGTTAATTCAATGACTATTAGTTTAAGTTATTTAATGATAAAAAATTGTTTCAAAAGTGTAAAAATATTCAATTTAATACTCCAAAAACACTTTTTTATTTACTTTTGCCCTTACAGTTTTTAAAATTAGAAACTTTAAAAATATAATTAAATAAATAAATATAAACATAAGAAAAATAACTATTTTATTATATGTATACATTTTATTAAATAAACATATAAACGCTATAGTAGATTTACACACACACACACACACATACACACACACACACACACACACACACACACACACACACACACACTCACTCACATATATATATACACAGCCCTCGGAAAAAGGGTCAATATATAAACCTAACTGCCGACCTATATAAATATATATATATATATATATATATATATATATATATATATATATATATATATATATATATATTTATAAACTTTTATAGAGAGAGAATAACAACAACATCTTCATAGCAAACTAAACAAAGTTTTTTTTTTATAATTCATCATCATTAACAATTTAAAATATAAAGAAGCTCAAAAACAAAAAAACTTCTTAAAACATAATAATTCACTAACAACTGGTTATATTCAAAAAAAAAAAAAAGTTGAAGAAAACAAAAACCTTTGTGAACAAGACCTTTTAAACATAATTGCAATGCTGTCAAATGTAAACAATAAATTATATGAAAACAAAGAGTCAAGCACATTAAATAAAAAGCAGCTGATTGCGCCATTTTAAAACTTGATACATTTTCTAAACACATAGATATACAATCTATAGTTCATGTCAATTTATTAGAAAAAAATCATTATAGAATCATATAAAATATGGAAACAAAACTCAATATTATAAAAATCCGATATAGAGATTTTTATAATATTAAAGGAAGAACTCTTTGTGATTAAACAAAGTTTTGTAAATATAAAATAGTTCTACAAAAGTAATACAAACATTTACTAATACGGAAATGTATAAAAAATAAGGTTGAGATTCTAAAAATGATTAGACAACTCAAGAAAATCAGAAAAAACTGTTTATTATATCAATTAGGTCTAAAAAATTATTTTGATTAAATACAGAAACTAAAATTCCACAACCTCAAGTAAAACGCTGATAATAAAAGTTAATCTACTTCACAGAAGTAAGCACTTATATATATTGTTAAACATTTATATAAGTTAACAAATATTTTCATATTTCATAACTATCAATGTTACCAAGAGAAAATAAAAAAAAAAACATTGTAAAAAAAAGTCAACCATAATCTGTTTACTCTCAATAATAAAATTTAAGTACTTTAAATTTAAGTCAATAAATTAGAATAAATTAGCATAATTTAGGACAACAACAAAATATTGTAAACATTTTTTTATAATTTTTTTTACTTAAGATATTTAAAACAATTCTGAATCATTTTACACATTGATTAACAATCATTATATAATTAATCGTTGATTAATAATAATTACACTTACATGGTATAAAAAGAACACGTAGACATCAACACGCAGACAACTTAAAATTAAAAAAAAAAAAATAAACTTATAAAAACAATTCACACTGAATTTATGATTGTCTGAAAATTCAATCTTCAATAACGTTTCCCATATGCTCCAAAGAACTAGCATTTTGTGATACATTTCCAAAACTTTTAACAGAGTTTTTCAATTTGCTTCCATGAAAATTTTTACTGTCAACCGTTGGGTTCATTGGACTGTGTACACTGGGACTAGATGCATTTTCACGTGAAACAGTGTAGTTATCATATGCTGGAACAGACCCATAGGAGTGGATACCTTTCCGTGGAAGCAGCTTATCATTTGCATTTCGAACCAGATGCGATGAACTGCCAAAGTTGGGAATATCTGGCAAACTAAAAAATCATTTTAATAGATTATTTAATTCTAAGTTTTTTTCTATGACAAAATTCAACAAAAAATAGTTTTTTTTTTTTAGTTAACAAATGAGATTATAATAAAACCCTAATAACTTAAATAAATAAAATAATAACTCAATAATTATGTAATATTTTTTAGAGTTATCAGGTGTTTTATACTAGTAATGTAAATTTACTTGTAAACTTGGACCTCAAAACTTAACAGAAAATAAAACCATAAATTTTGATTAAAAATTTATCATTGAATGATAAATTTTAAAATTTTTAGGAAATTCTATACTCAATCAAATTACCACGATAACATGGTATCATTGATAAGTTAAAACTTACCAGTTTAATTAACAAATTATTTATCAATTAAAAAATTTCAAATTTTAGATTATCTTGAACATATACAGCATAAAAAGTAATGTACTGAGTTGATTGCAGAACGACAAAATTTTGCAGCACTGAGAGTTATTTCAGGTTGGCTTTGTCAAAATCCTTGCAACTTGCAACAACACAATACTATCCATGATCTGTAAAAATTTGTGAGCACTTGTATGGCTGTTTTTTAAATTGGCTTGCTAAATACTGATTGAACTTTAAGGGCTGTACTGTATGCTACTGTTGATGATGTAGATGGTATCATTTATGGGTCAATATGGTGTCATATGTGTGTTATACATGGAATCAACATGATATTTATAAAATTTTAAATTACAAAAAATATAATAGAAACCTTCCAGGCATTCCTGATCGAGGGGGTGTATATGCAATAGAAAGTTCATCATCAGAATCATAACGATTAGGGTTATCAAAAAAATAAGATTTAGCATGGTGATAACTTTCAGATATTGTAGCAGAGGGAGGCTAAAAAAATATTCACATTAGTATACATAAACATTACATAAAATTATATTATAAAAATTTACCTTAAATTTATTTTACAATTGCTAAGTAATAACAATAAATTATAAATAAATTATAATAACTTATAATAATAAATTACTTGACAATGGCTATTATTATAATTAAGACATAAAAATAACTAAATAACTGTAGCTTTTATAAAAATCAAGTTAGAAAAGATTCCCTTCCAAATTAATTTTAACAAAAATTTAAATCCTGAATAAAAATAATTGCATAAACTTTTTATTCAAACATAATATATAAAAATTACCGCTACACCATCAGGCTTCCTAACTCTAAAAAACCAAACAGTCACAAATGTTGGCAACAATTCCCAGAAAATTAAAACAACCCCAAATGACATGAAAGCATAGCTACTTGTATTGTGTAAAACTGAACCATCATACCCAACTTCTCCCTGAAAAAATTTTATCAAGCAAGCACTTAACTTTTTGTTTATTTAAAAAAAAGAAAAATCTGTTAAGAGCGCTTAACAGAAAGATTGCAGTAAATCAAAGTTTTTTTTTTAAAAAAAATCTGGATTTTTCTGATTTTTGGAATTTTTGCAATTAAAAAAATTATATTTTTTGTTGTTTAATTATTCTTTAGTTGTTGAAGTAACTAAAGAATAAACAAAACAATTCCTTACGCAAAAGAAAATAAAATAGCTTTGAAATAGTAATAAAACTTAAAAAACTTGAAGTGAAAATTACGTTATTAATTTACATTGTTACACTTTTAATTTTATAATTATTACAATAAAACTTATCTTTTGAAAGTTTTATTAAAGTTATGCAAAATTATTGTTATTGTAAAGTTATTTAAATTATTGAAAAGTAAAATTAAATTATTGAAAAGTAAAATTAAATTATTGAAAAGAAAAAAGTTGTATAAGCATTTTTTTTTTTAAAGTTGCACAAAAAAATTGTTTTAAAAAATAATGTAGTCTTTTTAAAACAGTAATTTTTAATCATTTCATGCTTACTATTAGTAAGTCAAGTTTAAAAAAAACAACAACTTTTAAACAATTCTTTAGAAAAATAGAAAATAAAAAAAATAAAAATATAAATCATGGGAAGATTTAATTTAATCTTTTAAAAGTAATCTTTTGAAAGATTTTTAGAAAGATATGGAATAATAGTTGCAAATGATTAAAATTATCATAAAAATACATACCTACTAAAAAATGATTTAAATATAACATTTAATTTACACATGTGTTTGTTTTAAACGATCATTATAATTAACTTTTGATTTTATTTCAAGCCTTCGCATAAAATAAAAACTTTAAAAAAGAACAATTAAAAGCTATTTGTAAGGTAACAATTTTTCGTATTGCATTTAAATTGTTAAAACATCAAAACAGCCGTCCTCAAATTGTAGAAAAAAAGAATCACTAAAATATACATTTGATTTGAGATTATTTTACTAAAAAAAAAAATTCTACAATGAAATATTTTCTATAATAAAGAAAAGAAAATTCACTAGACTAACGTTAAATGAACGGAAAAACATGACCCAAATTTCGTTAAATGAACTGTAAAAAAAACGTTAAATGAACTGACTAGCATGACCCAAATTTTGATTGCATAACTCGGTTCTGTACAACTGTAAAGATTATATTTTTAAAATTTGATCAGACACTGTCCGACCTAAAGAAGTTTTTATCAGACATTTTGTCTGGGACTTTATAAAAAATTAAACTGAGCCCTGTATGTATATATATATATATATATATATATGTGTATATATATATATATATATATATATATATATATATATATATATATATATATACATATATATATATATATATATATATATATATATATATATATATATATATATATATATATATATATATATATATATATGTTTTGTGGCAGGATAGCTCAGATGGTTAGAGCGTTAAAGGAAAAGTTAAAACCCGGACATTTGATCGATACGAGTTCAAATCCCGCCACCGCCAACTCAGCGCTTGAGTAGTACTTCGGTACGCAAAAATGTTGGCCAATAAAGGACGCTACTTTGGATTAGTCTTGATGACTATTTGTGGCTGTTCCTATCCTAAGCCAACAATATCTTCAGATATAAAAACATTGTACAACTTCGGATATAAAAACACAGAAAAATATAGCATGAAAAACTCAAATAAATAAAAAATAAATAAAAAATTAATAAATATATATATATATATATATATATATATATATATATATATATATATATATATATATATATATATGTATATATATATATATATATATATATATATATATATATATATATATATATATATATATATATATCCAAATAGAAATTTAACGAACCTGATCAGAAACATTTATCCATCCATAGTTAAAGTCTGGGATTGATGAGCTTACAGGTAATATAGCAAGTATATTGAAAACAGCTCTTGACATATAAAGCAATGCAATTATAATACAAACAGATATTGCTTGACAAAAAGAGATGCCCTAATAAAATAAAAAAACATGTTTATTCATATCTTAATCAGAAAAAACAATTGTAAATGGTGTGTATACACACACACACACAGATATATATATATATATATATATATATATATATATATATATATATATATATATATATATATATATATATATATATATATATATATATATATATATTCCTAATATCATTTTTGTGCTCCTAATTTAAAAATCTCCGCTTTAATTTTTCAGAAAAAAAGAAAAAAAAACAAAAAATAATGAAAGAAAAGAATGCTGCCCCATGCCAAACCCTCATTTAAAGTAGCAGCACTCCTTTGCGGCAACATGGCTATAAGATAGTCAATGTATATACTGCCCCGCAACTTCCTTTTTTATGATATCATCAATATGTATATATTTTGGATATAGTTTTCAACAGTAAAGTAAAATAGTAAAGAAGGTGTTTTTAGGCAATTCTTAAATAAAAAAAATTTTTCATTTCAAAAATCAAAAATTTATACTATAGCATTTTCAAATTGAAAAGTTTTTATTTCGTGATTTTACAAAAAGCAATTTTATGTGCTTATACAATTAGTGTGGTGGTTTAGTTTCTTAAGCAACTAAAGATAGCACTTAAGTGTTTAATTTTAAAAAAGCTGTATAGTATTATATGTAACAATTACAGGAGTTAATAACTTATTTTATCTGTCAAAGAAAAATATTTTTCCAAAAAATTATTTTTGCAAGAAAAAAATTTTTACTGCAAAAAAAAAGGCCCGCAGATGGGCCCAGCATAGTGTCCTGTTTTAGAATGTGGGGGTCGAGATGATATTAGATTTTAGACTTGATTTTACTGATATTTTAATGATATCTTTTATAAATATTACAAAAGTAATATATAAATGATGTTGAGAAACCACATGACTGCATTGATGTAGGAAAGCTTAGGGTGCTGAAATGTTCTTTCATATGTTTTATGAATTTTTTACCATGCATTTTCAATATACTCCATTCGGACATTCTGCATTGTACAAAACGTTTAACAGAATTTTTAAATCCGAGAAAATAAAGATATATTGGTTAAAAGTTAAAAGTTTGTAGTTTCTAAAAATATGTCACATGTATAACTGGTTCCCAAAGAAATTCAGGAATTAATGCGTAAACTTTACCAAAAAATTTTTAGACGAAATTTTTTTAGAAAAATTTTTTTTTTTTTAATTTTTTAAAATTTCCACATATATTTATTTGTCTCATGCAAAATATAGATCGAGATCTTCCTTTTCAAACTGCAAAAGTATTATACTAATTTAGTTGTCTTCCATTAATAAATTTCTATTTGATCTTCTTTAAGTTTATCAGGCTTGACAGAATTTGAATAATAATAATAAAAAAAAAAGTTACAATTTTAAAAAGCAGAGAAATTTATAGAATAACCCATTAGAAGACATTTTATCTAATAAAAATATGAAATCACAAATGAAAAATATAAAAAATCTTACTGTCACATTAGAGAAACATGAATATTTCTCTAAAAATGTTGCAGTTTTATCAACTCCCTCAACAGGAAATTTATTTACCCAGGTAAACAAATATTTACCCAGGTAAATAAATATTTACCCAGGTAAATAAATATTTACCCAGGTAAATAAATATTTACCCAGGTAGACAAATATTTACCCAGGTAAATAAATATTTACCCAGGTAAATAAATATTTACCCAGGTAAATAAATATTTACAACAATCAAAAAAATGATTAGATTTACAACAATCAAAAAAATGATTAGAAAAGCAATCTTGATTAAGTTATGTTACAAGCTGACTTGTAACATAACTTTGAATTAAATTCAGTCAGCAAATTAGAACAAAAAAAAAGTAGCAATTACTGCTGTTAGCTGGCATAGCTACTTTTTATAATCTGGCGTTATTATTTCTGACAATTTGAACCATTCAAGAAATTCAGAGTTTTTGTTTTGACTTGTTAATAACTAACCTCATTAGAAAAGATGTAAAATACTTACATGTTTGATCTGATGGTCCTAGCAACCAATTAAAAAATTGTTACATGTTTGATCTGATGGTCCTAGCAGCCAATTAAAAAATTGTTACATGTTTGATCTGATGGTCCTAGCAGCCAATTAAAAAATTGTTACATAGTAGCTTCAATTTCATGACTTGAAAGCAAACACAATGTAAAAATTTTCAAGAATTACTTTGCTACGGAAAAGGATAATGTGATGGTATAGGAGCAACCATAAAAAGATTAGCAACACAAAAAATTGTTCGAAGAAAAGCTCTTATTAATGATGCAACAGCATTTTATAAAGCCGTCAGAGATACAAGTTAAGTAAACGTTTTCATGAAGGTTGCAACACAGGTTAATGATAAAATTAAAATGAAACGATACATTGATGTGGCATCTTCAAATTTAAAAAATTTTTTTTTATTTTTCATGAAACTATTCATTAAAAAAATAATTATTAATTATTTTTTTAATTTTCATGAATGGCGGTATTTTTATACCGCCATTCCACATTGTCACACTGTGACAATGTGGAATGGCGGTATAACAGTTTCAAATGATAAGTTTTATTTTTATTAAATTAGTTAACTTTTCTATTTATTTTTTTTAACTTTTTTTAGCTAATTTGTTCAGAATGAAACAAATAATTATATAAAATAATATTAATTATATTCAACTAATTTATTCAGAAAGGAACAGATAAATAAAATAAAAAAACATAATATTCAATTAATTTGTTCAGAATAAAACAGATTGTTATAATAAAAAATATATATATATTCAATTAATTTGCTTAGAATGGAACAGATAATTATAAAAAGAAAACATAATGTATGAGGTTTAGATATTGCAGTGCACCTTAACATTATTAATAGAGCTCAGTGTAACAAAATAAACAAATGTACGCTTTAACTTTAAAAATGGATTCAGGAGAAAATGCCAGAATACAACAGAAACTAAGGATCACAAAAATGAAGGCACAAGATAAAAATTTAAGGAATCAGAAGGAAAAAAATAAGAGAAAAAATGAAAAACTAGAAAACTAAGTGTTTGAAGTTTCCTTGTAAACAGATAACAACAAGCTGCTAGATTCTGATAATCACTTTTATGCCTCTGACAAAGATCAAGAAGATTTGGGGAAAAGTACAAGTTAGTATTTAAATAAGGATCACTAAAAGGTTGATGTAAGTGTTTCTTTGTCTTAACTGACGTTTAAAACTTTTTGCTTGGTATCTTGAAGATTAAAAGCACCAAGGTAAGGGAACAGGCTATTGCCATTCAAAGGTATCTTGAATACTATAAGCTTTTAGCTCAGATCATTGGGGTGTGTCCTAGCACTACAGCCAATAACACAGACAAGAATAAAAGAACCATAAAGAATTTTGTTGATAATGCTTTGGGAAGGCCTGTTCTCTGGCTTATGTGCAGACATATATCAGAGGTGTGTGTGTCTTGTGCAATGAAACTTGCTCTTTGCTTAACAAAAAGTTTGAGCAAACACCTTTATATTTCACTCAAGCAGATGTGGTCACAAACATATTGAGAAGTTAATAAACTTAAAAAGAATAGTTATATTTGAATGGTGTCAAGATGTTTTCAGGCTAGACACTGATTTTCACCTAGCAGTAAAAACTAAAAAATTCTGTACCATAGCACTTCAGGGAGACATTTACTATAAAAAAACACAATCATTTGTATCCGCTACTGATTTACCTCCTGGACAAATATACACTTAATCTCCTGGGAACATATATACTTAATTTGGGCACATATATACTTAATTTCTCCTTCAAGCTTACCATGAGCCCAGGTTTATGAGTGACTCTGATGACCTAAGACCTTTTAAGCTTTTAAAAACTTTTTTAGCTTATGTTGTAATGAAGGTTCTCAGCAATAGGATTTAAGCTACTATCGATATCTATTTCCAAGCTTGTAGTTGTGTCTTGAATTTTTAGAGTTTAGATTCTATAACTCTCTTGCTTCTTTTAATAAATTTTTTATATTCTAGATTGTCCAGAATAACAGACAACAAATCGGTGTATCAAACCAGTGCATAAATGTTAATTTTTCTATAATAAAACTGCGATTTAAAATATGTTTCTTTTTTTTTCTATAGGATATAATTAATGTAATCTGAGTCAGTGTTTTGTTCCTGTTTTAAGTTCCCAGATCTCATTATAAAAAAACTAAAAACAAAAAACAAAAAAATTTAATTATTTAGAGATTGCCTAAAAACACCTTTACTTTAGAGCTGACTTAAATATTTAAAATTTTCACTGAAAACCACTTTTACATAATAATGATTATACTTTTCAACGCTTTAAATTTCAAAAAAATGCTGTTACATACATACATACATACATACATACATACATACATACATACATACATACATACATAAATACATACATACATACATAAATTCATACATACATACACACATACAGGCTTGGTCCGGAAGCGGGAGCGATCGTTCTCTAATACTGACCACACAAATAATATTTAGTTGCAAAAAACTGGCCAGGTTTTTTAGTTGTTTTGAGAACATATAAGTTTATGAGCGGAACAAAAAAATTTTGTTTTACAGACATACATGGAAACATAATAAACTTGAATGTTCTCAAAACATCTTGGTGTGGAAGAATAAAAAGAATATTCGCGAAAACTAAAAACCCGCCAAATTAACGAACAAACTAATTCTATTGGTTTAAAAAATACGCTAACGTAGTGAAATAAAGTTCTAGAGTATTCTGTTAAAATGTTTTGGAAATTTTTAAAGCAATTTTTATGATTTACAATTGTTGACAAAGACTTACAAAAATAATTACGTTTTCAATAAAGTTATTAATAATCATTAAAGTTAATAAAACTAATTATGTAACAAACATATAAGAAGTTTCTGGTTACTAAACACAAACAATGCATTCAAAGTAACTCGCGTATGGACAAGCACCGCGCTTGAGGTCACATATATATAACAAGTTATTAGATATAAAAAAAAGTTTCTAGATATTAGTTTACTAACTCTAATTATTTTTACTTAAGTTCCCATTCTTAAAAACTTGTTATACCTTTTTCTGCTTTAAATAATAATTAAAATTAAAAAGCCCACTCACTAAATATCAAGTGATATTGTGAGGCAGTCTCGCTTCCTCGTATTTTTAAGCTTTTTAAGTAAGTATTTTTAACCTGCGTAGGTATTTTTAACCTGCGTAAGTATTTTTAACCTATTTAGTTGAATGTAACTATTTTTAACCCTTTTAGTTGATTTCTATCCTTTTAATTTAATTTCTGTAGTAATTCAATGATTTAATTATTTCATTTGTTTATCTTACTAAGAAGAATTATTTTAAATATGTTAAACTTTTCAAACTAAGCGAAGCATAAAATAGGTATTAAAAAAATTAACTTTTTTATTTATAAAATAATTTAGCTTAGATAAAACTTGCATTTTTTTCCATAAGAATCCTGTTAGACTTTTAAGGGCCGGGGGCTATTTTTATTTTGGATGCATTTGTATGTGCTACAGCATAAAAATGATTAAACAAAAAGGTCTTCTTGACTTTTTTGGGGCCCTAACGTTGCGGGGCCCAGGACTATATCCCCCTCTAAACCCAACCATCCTTAATCTAGCACTGGAAATAAGACACGAGTATATAAATAAATATTATATTACACTTTTTGTTAAATAAAGAACATTTGTTTCCTTTTTAAACAATCGTAAGATGTTACTTTATATAAAAAAACTTCGCTTAATTTTATAAAAAAATTATAAAAGAGCGATGTTTCGAAAATATTTGTTTTAAATGTAATTTATTTTACTTTAAGTTTTTTTGCGTTAAAAGATATTTTTTTTTTTTTTTTTTTTAATGTTATTGTCTCTCATCAGTCCAATTAATTTTTTTTTGCTTTTTGAAATGTTTTCAAAACAACTAAAATATCTGGCCAGCTTTTAGCAACTAAATATTATTTCGATGGTCAGCAAATGAGAGCGATCGCTCCAGCTTCCCGACCAAGCCTGTACATACATACATACATACATACATACATACATACATACATACATACATACAGACACACACACATACACACATGCATGCATACATACATACAGACACACACACATAAATACATGCATACATACATACATACAATACATACATACATACATACATACATACATACATACATACATACATACATACATACATACATACATACATACATACATAGATATATATATATATATATATATATATATATATATATATATATATATATATATATATATATATATATATATATATATATATATATATATATATATATATATTGTTATTGTATTTTGCAGTGTTTAATTGTCGATAAAAAGCTTCATAACAAACATATGAAATTGTTACTTGGCATAATTCCTGGAACTGAATTTGTCAATGAAATTTTATAAGAACTCAGTTGTAAAGGACATTGCCACTAAGAAAGAGGGGATAACTAAAGTTGAACAAGATGCTATTGATGTTGATATTGAATTTATGAACATTTCCTTTCCATTTCTAGAAATATGGCCATATCAGAAATCAAACTTTAGACCTCTGAATACACAAGCAAGCTCACAAAAAATTCACAAAGATTCACAAGCACAAAAAAGTCTCAGAAGTGATACTTAAATAGTGAATGAGGGTGAATACTATCACCACCAGTAGTTGTACATAGAATATAGTCAAGGTAAAACAGGAAGTAAATAATTAGCTTTTAGGTATTATTGAATGAAAAATCAAAAGTAAACATTAGATATTTACCAAATTTTCTTTAAAAATTGAGGAAAAAGTTTAGATAATTTGTAATTTGAGCTTGATTAAAAGTCACCTCGCCAGATTAGATTTTATTGATTAGATTTTAGATTTGATTTAATTTTTTCATTACTTTTTTTTCATTTTTAGAATGTAAGTATGAAAAAAATTTTTTGGATTAACAAGATCCATATCTTGGATTAGCGAGATCCTTTTCAAAACCTCTGGCAGCTGTTTTGAATTATTTTTTGAGGCAAGTATGTTCGTTTAGTATCTAAATATAATTAATTGCCTTAATTTTTTGAATAAAATCTCGCCTATATTTTTATATTTTGATTGGAGTTTGATTTTTATGAGTAAAGGTTTTGAATTCCAAGCAAAGGTGTTAAAACCAAGTAAATACAATCAATAAGGATTCATTCTTTTCCAATAGATAGTTAAACCCAAATCTGTTTTCAGTTCAGATTTTCATATTTTGGAACTTAAAGCCTTTACAGTATTTTTATTATAGATTGCAATGCCAAAACCTGTGATTTCTTCTCTGTTGTTGTGGAATAATACATAGTTTGGTATTAGTGTATTAGAGTCCATACTAAACTCTCTCAAAAAATTTTAAAGTTGTTCACATTTTTTTGTTGCCCAGTTTTTAAGTAATGTAAACAATTACATAATAATTTTTTTTTAACTATACAAAGTGTGAAACTCCACAACAAAACTTAATGTCCTGTTTATAAAACAACTCTAAGTTGCGTTTAAAATATGACAAACCTTAACTTGTTAGTATAAACATTTTTTTTCAGAAACATTAAGATTAAATAACTTTTAAAATGTAGCAAAGCTGTAAAAAAATTTTGAATGATTAAATGTTTACAAAAATTATTTATGAGGATACTGGTGTTTTAGCATTATTATCTGGGTTTTTTTAAAGTTTCAAGTTTTTTATGAAAAAAGGAACCTAAAGTTCTTATGTAAAATTATTTATAGGGAATTTAGATTTCAACACCCTTGGTTTAAAAATGATAGATTCTAGAGCTCCTCAAGCCTCCTTTAGGAGGTTGAGAAGTTTCAATATGCTATTGGACTAAAGCACTATTTTTAGCCTAGTTTTGTTGTATTGTTATTAACATATAAGTTTAAATATTTTGCACTTATAAGCTTAACATATAAATATTTAAATATATTAACATGTAAATAACATATAAGCCTAAATATTTTGCACCTGGCCTTCAAGCAACATTCTAGCAGAACTTTGACGTGTTAACTAAAACAAAGAGAAGGCAAACAAAATTTTAAAATCAATAACAACAAAAATTAAATAAAGAAACAGTCAAACTGTACCTAAAGACCTTACCTTCATAATGCAGTAACACAGCACTAAAGCAGCAAATAGAAAAATACAATAATCAACAGAGACACGCAATAATGTTATTTTTTGCTGATAATGAGCATACGGATTGTAACTATATACAACCGAACATGAGATATTTGTAGCTAAAAATATGATATTTGACAGAACTACACCAAAAACAATTCTTTTCCTAAAAAATAAACAAATACAAACTTCAATTTTTAATATAAGATTATTAACCTTTAATGAAATAATCTTCTTAGTCTTAGTGACACTTTGCTAATGATAGGAATTGCTTACATCTCTATTTTTTCCTTTCTATTTTTGCTTGCATCTCTATTTCATCTCACCTTTGTTGGAAATGAATTTTTAATAAAAAACAATTTGGATATAAAAAGAAAAAAATCTAGAAAAATCAACCAACAAATTTTTTAGCTGAATTTTTATTCCAACTTTTTTGTTAAAAAAAGTTAAAACTGCAGTCTTCTAATTATCACTCAAGGAGATTGGTAACTGAAGATGTAATGCCCAAAAGTCCCAGGCGCTTTCGCACACAAAGCTTAATCAGAGTTGCCTCTTGGTTGGTTCAAACTAAACTTTTCAAATTTTGAATTGACATTCATATAAAAGTTGAATTGACATTCATATAAAATGCAAGTATTCCTTTAAGTACTTATAATCATTGCATGGAAAGACATGCTTAAGAGCATAGCCAATAAAATTATTAGACTAGTGTAACAAACTCACTTCGAATAACCACCTTTATAAACCTTCTTGGATTTCTCCTGAATTTCTGCTTAAATAACATGGTAACTACCAATTAAAGCCTGCTTTAAACTTTAATATATATATATATATATATATATATATATATATATATATATACATATATATATATATATATATATATATATATATATATATATATATATATATATATATATATATATATATATATATATATATATATATATATATATATATATATATATATATATATATATATATATATATATCAGTAGTGTACACTGGATTTTTAGATGTTTGAGTTTTAACACTTACAGACATTGTGCAAACTCTAAACTTTTGTAATGCTTATGTCAAATGAGAATGTTTTACAAAGAGTTGTGGTGATTAGAGCTTGGAGACAAAAAAAAACCCAATTTTCAGGCCCAGCTAGCCTTAAACGCGGGAGCAACAAGTTGATAAAATAATTTCTTTAGTATTTTTATCTAGGTTTATATTTATCAACAAAATTCAAATTTCATGTAGTAATCTCTTATTTTTCGAAAATTATGACCATATAAAGTTTTAACCCCCTCAATTTGAGGGGGCTGTAAACTTTGTATTAATTAAATAAAAATTAAATAAAATTAAACACTAAAAGGTTATTGCATGAAATTTGAAATTTGTTTATGAATATAAACTTAGATAAAAATACAAAAGAAATTATTTTACAAACTTGTTGCACCCACATTAATAGCTGGATGGGCACAAAAATTAGGTTTTTTTTTGTCCCCAAGCTTCAATCACCACAACTCTTTGCAAAACATTCTCATTTGACATAAGCAGGAACATACAAAAGTTTGGAGTTTGCACAATGCCTGTAAGTGTCAAAACTCAAAAATCTAAAAATCTAGTGTACACCACTGTATATATATATATATATATATACATATATATATATATATATATATATATATATATATATATATATATATATATATATATATATATATATATATATATATATATATATATATATATATATATATATATATATATATATATATATATATATATTAGGGTGGATCGATTTTAAAAATTTTTGAAATTTGATTTGCCTGAGCTGCGAATCGATGTCTTTTGGTGAAAAAAGAACCTTACTTTTTTTTTTTTTAATTAAAATAAGTTTTAGAGGTTCCTCTTTGGATTCTAAATTTATGACGGATCCTAATATTGTTGAAATTTTTTTTCTTCTAAACTATATCAACCTAGTACTCAAAAGAAGCAGAAAAATACGCTTATTTTGAATATAATATTTGTTTTAATTCAAAACTAAATAGAAAAAATAATGTTGTTTTTTTATTAAAATTTTTTATTAAAAAAATTTATTAATATTTTTAAAAATATTTTTTAATATAAATATTTTAATTTATAATATTTTTTAATATTAATATTTTTTTATATTAATATTTTTTAATACTAATATTTTTTAATATTAATATTTTGATAATATTTTAATTATTAATATTTTTAAAAATATTTAAAAACAATATTTTTAAAAAATTTATTAATATTTTATATTAAAAAATTTTAGTGAAAAAAATATTTGCAAAAATATACCTTAAAACCCCCTGTCTTCATCAAAACGGGGGTTTTAAGATATATTTTTGCAAATATTTTTTTCACTAAAATTTTTTTTTTTATAAAATTATTATTGATAAAACAAGCATTTTTTTCTGCTTTTTTTGAGTCCAAGGTTGATATTGTTTAGAAAAAAAAAATTCAAAAATGTTAGGATCCGTCAAGAATTTGGAATCCAAAGAGGAACCTCAAGATCTCATCAAAATCAAAAAATATTTTTTTACTTTCATCTTATAATTAATAGACATCGATTTGTGTCTCAGGAATATTGATTTTGAAACTTTTTTTTTTTTGCTATGAAAATCGATCCACCCTAATATATATATATATATATATATATATATATATATATATATATATATATATATATATATATATATATATATATATATACATATATATATATACATATATATATATATATATACATACATATATATATATATATATATATATATATACATATATATATATATATATATATATATATATATATATATATATATATACATATATATATATATATATATTTATATAAATATATATTTTTATATATATATATATATATATATATATATTTATATAAATATATATAAATATATATATATATATATATATATATATATAAATATATATATATATATATATAAATATATATATATATATATATATATATATATACACATATACATATATACAGTGGTGTACACTAGATTTTTAGACTCATATTTAATAGATTTTTGATGAGAAATAGCAGTCATCAATTATTTCTAGCTAGAGTATGGTTTTTTGAAAATTATTGTATATTTTTCAAAATGTTGCGATACTTTTACTCAAAAAAATAAAATTGTAAAAATGTGTATATTTAATTTATTCTAATAGCCTAAAATATGATAAAAATATTTTCGTTATAATTGTTCTTTAAGAAAATTAAAATAGAATGCATATTTCATTAAGCCCTAGCTTTTAATTGCTAAAACAAAGAAAAATAAAAAATCACGCAGAGAAATGGAAATGCCCATATATATATATATATATATATATATATATATATATATATATATATATATATATATATATATATATATATATATATATATATATATATATATATATATATATATATATATATATATATAATTTAGTAAAAACACTTATCTAATTTTAGTGCATGTTTCACCATCAAAAGGTTCATCAGGAAGCTTCCTGATGAACCTACTGATGGTGAAACATGCTGTTGAAGAGCACAAAAATTAGATAAGTGTTTTTACTAAATTATTATTGCTCTGTTCTTTACGAACATATATAATTGTTCTTTTGTATCAAGTTAATATACAAAGTCTCTTGTTTATTTCATATAAAGCTTCTAATACCGGACCAAAAATTAAATATCGTTTTTTTGGTATTAGATTTAGTAAAAACCGATATACCAGTATTAATGCCAGTATTTACAAATACTCAAAAAATCTTTAATTAAAACCCAAAATAACAAACAGTTTCAAAACTTTATTACTTAAGGTAAACTAATATATGAAATTAATTAATTTAACAAAAAAAATAAAAAAAAATTTTAAAAATTATTTATTATTGAAATAGGCTCGCAAAAAACATAAAATATTCAAAATTTCGTCATTTAAAGTTGATCAAATTCTTGTTCATAACATTCCAGATAAAAAGAAAGCCCGTTCAGCTTCTACGCTAATTGGGAGAATAATTAAAATATAATAGTATACCAACTTCAAGTTGGTACCATGTGTACCGTCTTCCTCAATTATAGAATTTTTTTTTTCTTATAATTTTAGTCAAATATTTTAATATTTTAATTTGTTTTTGGTTTTCATTTTTATCTTATTATTTATGGCCATGTCCAGCAGCTCCTGTAATGTCAAGCTTAAAGGTTCGTCTTCCCACATTATGCTATCTTCATCCTTGTCTGTTTCGGATGGCAATGCTGTAGTTTTAGCTTTTTTTTTTTTTATTTGTATTCACTCCCAACAAGGCTGCAAGCAACCATTATTAAGTTGGGAGTTACTAGGAAAAAAAAGAACAGAGTTATAGAGTAAGGAAACGGTTGACAGAAGACTTGAAAAGTTGAAGGTTGTATGAGTCAGGAAAACATGAAGATGGAAGAGAGTTCCAAATGATTGAAGTGCGGGGAAAAAAACTAGATGAATAAAAGTTTTTAGAGCATGCAGGGACAGATACAGTAAACGAATGAGACTTAGCTGATTGACGAGTAAAACGAGAATGAATTTTAGTTGATGGAACTAGAGATGATAACTCCTTTGAGCAGTGACCATGATAGTATTTGTAGAAAAGAGAAAGAAATGCAACTTTACGACGATGGGAAAGAGGCTCAAGCTTAGCAGATAGTCCAGGTCCAACAACATTTACAATGCGTTTTTGGACCTTGTCAAGAAGAGAAAGTGAATCGTTAGAAGAACCAGCCTAAATATGACAACAGTATTCCATACAGGGACGAATAAGAGATTTGTAGAGGTAGAGAATGGAATCAGAAGTAAAGAAATGGCGAGCACGATAAAGAGAAGCAACTTTAGAAGAAGCTAATTTAGCAATCGATTATATATGGTTTCCATGAAAGGTCAGTAGTAAGCTTGGACAGATGAGAGCCATTGGATAAGATGCACAATTAAATTAGCTGATCAAATATGAAATCTGAACCAAAATTATCTTGGGTTTGATCACTTTTATAAAGATATTGCATGAGGTAGATAAATTTGTGCATCTCTCTTTTATTCTTTTAATTAAGGAGTTCATTATATAGTTACTTAATGATCTTTTGCCTAAGTTTTGCAGCATAAATGCTGGGTAGTATAAAAGTATAAATGCTGGGTAGTATATAAATGCTGCATAAATGCTGGGTAGTATATAAAAGGTAGTATCAGCTGATAGAAGATATACATCTCTCTGAAATAAAGCTACAGCCAATTTCACTAGTAGCAACATGGAAACTGTTGACAATTTCAATCCTAATTCACATTCCGTAAAGTTAATAGTTGAATTTATGTCAATTAGGGCTTTTTTTTTAATTTTTAACTTATAAAAAAGCTCTAGAATAAAAAGTAAGCTGTTCCAGTAAAGAATAAAAAGTAAGCTGTTGACACTTCTTTACCATGTTCAGTTTTTACGTGAACTTGAAGGATTTCATTTTTTGTTGTTGATCAAGAAGTTTTTCTGTTATCAAAGGGTAAAAATCAACAATATCAAAAATAAGGAATTTATAAAAACGTTTATCACTAATGGAATTGAACCAATTTGTGGTATCTTGTGTTTGAGATGAAGTATGTTTACTAGTTCAGAGTTTATAGTGGAAAGTATAACTTTACTAGTTCTGCTGATTTCTTTTTTAGTTTAATAAATGGACAGTTGGATTGTTTGCAAAGTTTTCTAAAGCGCAGCATCTAATTATTTATCTCATTATTTAACAATTATTAAAAAAGTTTAGATTAAAAATCAAGCAGTTTATTTGATGTTTTAATGAGAGCATTTGATACTGCCACAGTATGTGGACTTGCTGGAATTTACCTATTGTTTCAAATTGCATAATTTTATAATAAAAATGATTTCAGATTATACCGCAATGATGGTTTAGCAATTTTTAAAAACATCAATGGTCTCAAAATGAAAAAAATCAAAAAACATGTTAAGATATTTAAAAGAAACAGTCTCACTATATCAATTCAATGCAACATGAAAGTTATAAATTATCTTGGTCACATTAAATCTCAATGACCATACTTTTCATTCCATATTCTAAACTCGGAAATTCTTTAAATTATATTCACGCTGATTTAAACCACCCGCCCAATTATTTAAAACAACTTTCGCATTCAGTTGAGTTAAGACTGTCTACAAATTTTGCGCTCAACCAAATGCCCTCCAATACTACGGCTGGCACTTTTTTAAGCACTTGCCAAAAAATTTCAAGCGTGTTTTTAAATTGCAACATCTTTTTTCTTAATCAAATTCTAAATAAAGAGGTACAAAAAACAAATATTTTTTAAAACTGCGCATGCAAAAAAAATAATTATTGTTCGGCCAGCGCTTTTTAGTGCGCTGGCGGTAAATTTTAAATAGAGAAGACTGAATGCGACATTTGAAGTCATAAAATTATCTTTATTTTTTTTTATAGACGTTAAGTTTTTAAATACCATAATAAAAACTTTTAAAAAAATTAGTAACAAATATGCAAGCGACAGGATTTGAACCGTTGCATTGTACTTCGGAAGCACAACGAGTTAACCACTTTGGACACTAATCTGACAATTTTTAACACTAATTTATAAACAAAAGACTTTTTAAAATGGCAGTTAAATGCTGTGAATCTAAATTAATGAGACATTGCTGCAATACAATTTTTAAGTAAAATTGTAAAACTTTGTATAACTTTTAATGTTACAAAATTTGAAGTTTACATAAGTAAGATATTTGAATAGGCTTTTGCTCAACCTAAAACAAAATATAAGTTTTTTTTTTGAATGTAATATTTCTTTATTATTATTATCATTTTTCATTAAAATTTGAGGACCTTTTTTTTTATACATTTTTACAGCAAATATTGTTTTTTTTGCAAAAAAAACACTGATTTTCTGCTAAAACTAGGGTACCGCCGCCTAAATTATTTTCCTAGAATAGGCCCTGCATATGCATATATATATATATATATATATATATATATATATATATATATATATATATATATATATAATTATATATATATATATATATAATTATATATATATATATATATAATTATATATATATATATATATATATATATATATATATATATACATATATATATATATATATATATATATATATATATATATATATATATATATATATATATATATATATATATATATATATATATATATATATATATATATATATAATTAATGCCCCTACCCATGTAGTTTTCTATGATTTTAATTATATAATTATATATATATATATATATATATATATATATATATATATATATATATATATATATATATATATATATATATATATATATATATATACATATATATATATATAATTAATGCCCCTACCCATGTAGTTTTCTATGATTTTATTTTTTTTTTGTTCAAATTTTCTTTAAAAATTTGAACAAAAAAAAATAGTAGTTTATCAAATTTCCAGACATAAAACAAAAATCTAATCCTTTCTAAAAGCAATATTAATTTTTTTTTTTTTATGTTTTTAAACAGAAAATCTGAATGCCAAAATAGTATTATTAAAATATAATTAAAAGTTATAAAAATATACAAAAAGTTTTATGACCCTTATAATATGTCTTTTTAAACATAGCACTTTTAAACAGCATTAATTTAAAACAAAATAAAACAAAAAAATTTTTAGAAGAATTATACCGAAGTAAAATAAGCTTTGATGGACTCATAACTTTAACAACAACCTAAAACAAAATATAAGTTTTTTTTTTGAATGTAATATTTCTTTATTATTATTATCATTTTTCATTTAAATTTCTTCTTTTAATATATACTTTTAAACTAACCAGCCTCAGCATAGTGTCTAAAGTATTAGAGAATAAAAAAAATACATTATAACTATAAAAAGAATATATTGTAGTTAAACCACAAAATAATAATAAATAAAGAGTCTTTATAACAGTATACTATGAATAATACTATTGATATTATAGACTGAGTTCTAACCCTCTCGTCTGAACTGCAGTGCACTGTAAACTAATACCAATTTTTAAAATAATATATCAAGAAAAGATTAAACATTTAATTTCAATTTAAAATATTTATAATTTTTAAAAAATTTAAATTTTTATACATGTTTACTATTATTTTAATTATATCTCACCAAGGCTATTGAGTCTAAAGGCTGACTGACTCACTGAGTCCAACTAGATTCAAAGACACTATTTTTTTCTAATTTTATTCAAAACTCTCTCAAAACCTTATATATCTTTACAAGTAAAAACAGAAACAAAAAAATGAAGTACTCAAAATTAAATTGAGTGAATATATTTGAAATATTATCATTTATTTGAAATATTAATATTTATTTTATCATTATAAATACATTTTAACATTACCTATTTACATTTTGAATGTTCTTTACTTGTAAATATTTCATCCAGTTGAAATACAGTTGGGTTAAAACTTGAAAGTTTTAAATAAGTTTTTTCAAACAGAAACTAGACAGGTCAGGAGAACTTTACAGGATATTGAATTAATAAGAAACAAAAAATTTTAAATTTATTTGTGAAAAGAATTTTCTTAAACAAAAACATTTCTCCCATCTTCAAAAAAAATTATTTTAATTGTTTTCGCACATCTTTGATGGAGAGACATATATGATGGAGAGACTTATGTTTTACATAATAAATTAGTTAGCGGATAATAAGAAAAAAATTTCTTTTTTAAAAAAAAATTGCAAGGTTATTTTATATTCGTTTGAAACTAAACTTTACATTTTACTAACTTTTATACATTCATTCAAAACTAAGTTTAAATTTTTATTTTTCCAAATCATATTTAATTTAAGGTAATTTAATTTTAAAAATACTTTAAAAAATCTGTTTCTTTAACAAAATACTTTACAATTATATGCTTTTAAATGCTTTTTTCTACTTTTTTTTTACTTGATATTTTCTAAACAAATGTTACATAATTGATATTAAAAGATAATTTAAATAATCCAAAAGACAAAAACTTAACATAAGGAATACACAGATCACCATTTCATACTTACATAAAATGCAAGCAGCATAATGCTTCTTAACAAAGCCTCAAATCAATATTAACGACTAGCTGGACCCATAAAATACAGGTTATGGTCTGTTCCATACCAACCAAATCTATACTTCTTTATATGGCATAGTCAAATCACTAAAACCCAATTTTTCCCCTAAACCTTTTGCCTAAAATCACTAAAACTCAATTTTTTGAGCAATCAAATTACATTGACTATTTTATTGAACAAATGAAATAAAAAAATAAAATCAAATGAAACACACAGATATTTGAAGCAAATAATTTTATTCAGATCGAGTGAATAAAAAAAAAGCAATTGCTCACAATCAATTGCTCACGACAATAAAAGCTAAAAAGAAAATGCTCACGACAATAAAAGCTAAAAAGAAAATGCTCACGACAATAAAAGCTAAAAAGAAAATGCTCACGACAATAAAAGCTAAAAAGAAAATGCTCACGACAAAAGCAATTGCTCTAAAATACATGAATAAAGTTCTGCTTTTGTTCATAAATATAATCATAAGCAATTTAGCTTTCTGCTAAAGAGTAAATGCTTTAAGCTGTTACCAATAGAAATTAATTGTTTTTATCTGTATGTTTAAAAATGGCTGCTTTAAGCATCTTTTTTACTGAAGAAATGATATCTTCCATGATCCTTTCCTATTGTAAATTGAGTAATTATTTAATAAAATTCAATTAGCCAATTAAAATTCAATTAAAACTTAACTTATAAAAAACTGTTAAAAGAATGAACCAAGCCATTAATAAAATAGTAATTGAATTTTGGAGTTAATAAAATAGTAATTGAATTTCATCAGAAGATGCTGTTAAATTCTTAGAACAGATAAATCAAGGTTTATATCTGTTTTCTAAAATATCTGTTTAATTTTATTAGTTTAAACTATAAAGCAATTCATATAACAATTTTTATAACAATTCATATAATTCAAAGAAAACAATATTAGCAATGCATCAGAACAATTGACTGTATAGTAGTTTTACTGGACTTTGGTTAAAGGTCAACTAAAAAATGGCAAATTTATTGCCAAGAGCTATAAAAACCGTATTATAATTAAAAACTAGAATATATGAATTAACTCTATATGAAAAGTTTGAATTAACAATTACAGCTTACAGATTTAGTTTGCAACTTTGGAATCTTTAGAAATACTTTTTATCTTATTTAGCAAAACCAAAACAATCAATGATTTTGTGATGATTTGTTACAGGAAAGAGAATTTTTTAGTGATTTTGTGATGATTTGTTACAGGAAGGAGGGAGTATCCAATTTTGTGATACAGCAGATTTTTTTTTAGCTTTAAATCTTGAGAAACCTCTCTGTTGATTAAAAGAGCTCCGAGCCAAACATAAACTCTATGTTGATGAATGTACACTATGTGGCTATTTATATTAGTTAATTAACAGATTGCATGTGGGACATGTACTAGTAGGCTTTCTGATGATTGATGCTTGAGCGCAGGACACATACTAGTACATTTTCTGAAGGTTTTTACTTGACCTCTTGTCTTATAGTGATAGGGAATAATGTAATGACATGGTTTGTTTTTTATGTATTTCATTTGTATTTTAGTGTTTAAAAAAATCAGTTTAAACTTAAAATTAACCTTTTATTTAACCTTGCGAATTCACTGCAAAATATACCCAAAAGCAATGTATTAATATAGACTTTACTGCAACTACGGGCCATAGTACTTTTATATCAATCAATAATATAGCTATAGTCTATAGTTATATCATTGATAAAAAAAATTAGTTAATAATAACATAAATAATGAGTTATTAAATGAAAATCCTTAATAAAATAATTACTATTAAACAATAATTGTTATTATGTATAAAGCATAAACTTTAAAATGAAACATAAAATATAAAAGAATAAGAAAAACCACTTCCCAATTCCCGCATCTTCAATTATTCAAATCAAGTGTTGCCCACAACAATACACTAAGTTATTGATTCTGGTAATATTAAAATTATATATTTATCATTACCTAATATTCTCAGAGGGGTAATTCCATGTTAAATGACCCAGGTTATGACACCATACATCTCAGATTTTGTTGGTTTTTATACAGTTGAGAGTGCTTATTAAAATAAGAATTCTTTGAAATTTTTAGCCTCTGGCTCCAAGAAGATCCCAAAATATTACCATTTTACTTTTAGCAGATACTGGCCAGGCCTCTCTAGTCCCCTTAGAACTGTGACATTTAAAGGTTTTAAGTCACATAGCCTTAAAAATATTTGGTTTTTTAACTTGAAAATTTGTAATTGGCTATTTTTGGGGGTGACAAATGCAATGGAACGATCAGAAGTGTAAAAAAAAATTTATTAAGTATCTGATATTGCAGATCAGGTACTTAATAACAATTTTATAAAGATTTTGATCTGTAAGTATATGGATTTCCATATATGGTTAGCGGGGCACAGTTCCCACTTTTTTATAGCAGAATATTGCAATTGGCTTTTCACTAACTTCCAGACTAGCTGGAACTCTGAAAATATTGGATTTTTTTGTAGTGCCAATGAATGTGCATGTTAAATTTGTTTTCAGGGCCCCAAGACATTAGGGGGAACTAGGGCAAGTGCCCTACTTTTTTGTAGTGGGATTTTGTAATAATAAAGTAAAGATGATATTGTTTTAAAAAAATTTTTTTTTTTTGTTTTATTTAAACATTTACAAAATAAAATACAAAAATATAAAGTCTCAAGATTGTGTTAAAATTTGCTTAGATGCATCAATGGTCAAAGTATACATACATCCAGTTGCTGTTACAGGTGCATCAATGGTACAAATTATGTTGGTAATTGGAACCCAACACTCATCTGCTCTAGATGGTCAGAAAAGATTGTTAAAAGGACCATGCAGATGCATAATATTACCAAAACATCTTGCACATAGCGATCCAATCAAACGTATCATATTTACATAGAACGAATTCACCAAATTTCAATGCATTAATGTTAATTTTCAATGTGTTGATGTTGATTAGGTTAAATACTTTGAATATCAGAAAAAGAAAACATGCCTGTTATATTAAATTCTTCACTTGTTTGTTTCAAACTAATAGTATCTATAGATTCTGAGTTAAAATGATGATAACTCCAAAATTTTGCCTTAGGTATCTTGCTTTACATTTTGCAATGTAGGAATGAACTGTTAACTTGTTTATTGCCTCTGATAACATCAATTTGAATTCTTTAATTGTTGTTGTCTGACAGATCAATATCTGTTTTCTTTTTGATTCAAAAAGTTTTAAATTATACAATGTAAAATTCTGTTAAAATCATTTATTTTACATGGATTACATTAAATTTATATCTTTTCAAATTTAAATTCATATCTAATTCTAAACTTTAACCAGTGTAACTATGAAATGACACCATCTCAGTGGTCTCAGAAGTTGAACAATGGCAGTGAAAATGTATAAGATGAAAGATGAGGAAGGAACAGGACAGGATTTACACTTCTGGGGGCCTTAGGATAAGTCATGTTTTGGGGCCGTTTTTATATATAAAAATAGTAAAATATACTGAAATATTTTGACATATTGGGGCCCCTATAATTGTGGGGCCCTAGGATGCAGCCTAGTCAGCCTATTGATAAATCTATCCCTGGGGAGGAACCACATCACTACCTACTGATCTTTCTGTTGTTTTTGATTTG